TTTTTTGAAAGATGCTCGATGAATAAGACGATGCTTTTCTCTTTCTTTCATATATTTTTCTCTCAAAAAGAAAAAATTGTTACCAGACGCTGCGATGGCATCTCGGTAGCACAGATTGCCATTGAGGAAAATATTCCAGAAAGAACTATACGTCGAGTTTACCAACAATGGAAGAAAAATGAAACTGTAGAGACGAAACGCAGGTCTGGAAGACCTCTTATCTTCAACTATAGGAAAAGAAGAGAGCTAGGAAGGATCGTACGCGCAAACCGCCGTGCTACTCTTAAAGAAATTAGACAGCTGATCAGCACCAAGGCTTGTGAAGACACCATACGCAAAGAACTCAAAAAACTTGGCTAAGTTTCTCGTGTGGCTGTCAAGAAGCCAGTTTTGAACGAAAAACAACGGAAAGCAAGGTATATATTTGCTAAAAACCATGAACACTGGGCAGTAGACGACTGGAGAAAAGTAATCTGGACAGACGGGTCGAGCTTTGAAATCGGCAAGCTGCCCTCACAGCCCAGAGTATGGCGTAAGACACTGGAAAAATATAACAAATAATGCCTGGTGCCAACCTTCAAAAGTGGTAGAACTTCCATCATGGTTTGGGGCGTCATAGCTGGTGGAAAAAAGTCGAAACTTGTTTTTATGGAAATCACCACTAAATTTACAGACTCTTTTTGTAGCAAGGAGCAAGCTTGGCTGCAAAATTAAAAGCAGTTAAAAAAATTGATCCAGTAACAAAATTACAACGAATGCAACAAGAGGTTTCACGTTTCATGTTAGTGGCTTTTATTCATTTATTTACTGTATATGTCTAACTTTCATATTTCTACGAGTAGACTTGATTTGCATAAGCCGTATATTTTCAATTCCAATAATATACTCCTTAACTCAGAAGAGGGTTTTAAAGTAAAATTCTGGAGTCATATTTTTGAGGAACCGTTCAGTGTATCAAACGTCTGTTTGCACTGGTAGGTTGATTTAACAACCTGATACTGAAGCTTTTGCAATAACTAATATTTTTGTTAGGGAGGATACAGTGCCATTTATATTCAAGTATACTGAAGCCGCTCCAAAGGTTGATTTAAGAATTATATCAACCATGAGTTGCGAAGAGGGTGATCATTCGTTATGTGAATTTTCTAAGATAGCCGAATCAACAAATTTTACTAGGATAAATTGAAGCTTACATCAATAGTAAAGCATCATGTGAATTCACTTATCAGCAACAACAACATACACAACCCCTATCCGTTAATGATGATAATGGGATTCGAGTTTGTATTTATGAGCTTAGAATTTGTTGAAGATGTTGGATACGTAATGAAGCGAATTGATCGGTATTGTTTCCCTATCATTAAAAAAGCTGTCAATGAAGGAGAAATCGAAACTTTAATAAAAGATATTAATGCCATCAAGGTTGGGGCATTGTTTCCAACCAACACTCTCTTCAAGGGACATGGACATCGACGGAACGCCGCTTATATATCAACATCAAAGAACTCTTAGTGGTTCGGAAGCTTCTGAAACACTTCTCTATACCACCGAACCATCATCTGCAGCTATGCATGGACAATACCTCTGCAATGGCTTACATCAACAAGTATGGGGGAACTCGATCTTCAGCACTGAATAATCTCGCGATGGATATTTGGAAATACTGCTTTCGTCACTCAATCAAACTATCGACTCTATATGCGCCTTCAGCATGCAATCCAGTTGATGTACCATCCCGACAACTACAGCAACAGATCGAATAGACCGTGCCCCACTCAATCTTCACCTGGATCGACCAATGCTGGGGCCCTCACTCGATAGATCTCTTTGCATCATCCAGCAACCATCAACTACCAATCTTTGTCACTTGGAACTACCGCCCTCAGGCGGCATGGACGAACGTCTCCTCATGGAAGTGACACCATCTACAAGGCCGACTATATCTCGCTTCACCGTGGAACATGATTCTCCCGACACTGCAACATCTGACACAACACCTACAGCTAGCTAATTTCATCACACCCAACTGGCCCTCAACCTCATGGTACCCGCTAGCTCTCCATCTAGCCCAGCAATCACCGCTTCTTCTCTCGCAGCCTCTCTTGGTAAACGACGAACAAGATCACCAGTTAATTCAGAAGAACACTAAATGGACGATGCTTGCTTGGAGCCTTGGCCGAAACGTGCCCGCAATCTCACCGTCGATGCAGCAGCCCGTACATTACTAGACTCATCTCATCTCAGCAGCAAACGTCAGTATACCTTCCGACAACAAGCATATTGATTGTGGTGTGATGCCCGGGAATCTGATCATCTGGACTTTTCACCCACACAACTGATCAATTACTTGGCTGACCAGCGTACCACCAAACATTTGAAGTCTTCCACTTTGCTGACATACGCCATCGACATTATTGCCATGTTCCCCGCCGACACCCAATCCGATATCCGTAATTCAAGGCTCTTCCAAGATTTTATCAAGGCACTACGCTCGAACACCATTCTCTCGCCAAAACATTGGTCCTACGATGTTACTCCTGCTATTCAATACCTCAAATCTTGGGGCCCCAATTCAGCTCTCAACAAGGCCCAGCTGACGGCGAAAGCTTGTTGGCTCCTCGCTATGGCTGGTTTCCTACGCCTTCCGATCTAGAACACGTGAATTTAGACGCGACTACGGTTTCTTCTGATAAGGTTCTCTGTCTGAGTATCGTAGCTCTCAAGGAGAAACGTCAAGGCCAGCGTGTGGCGAAAGTCATCACGATTCATCCACACGCGGACCCTCTCCTATGTGTCGTGGCTGTTTTCGAGGAATACAAGCAGCGAATCGCCTTGTCAGAATGTCGCACTGCTCATCCTTTGTTCCTAACAATGAAGTTGAATAGGCTCCTCCGTTCCCTGCAGAACCACAACACGCCCATCGCTGCCGATCGTATCTCAAAGTACATCAAGCAGATAATGACCAAGGTTGGTAGACCCGCTCAAGCCCCTGTACCTAAGGCTCGTGGACTTGCTGCCACTCTCGCGGCACAAGTGGGGACTTCCGTTGACAACATTGTCGCTCATAGCCCCCGGTCTTCCCGCGATATCTTTGAACACTATCATCGCCTGTCCTCAGCTACTTCTACCAATTTTAGCTTGTCTACTCTGGATCAACAACCATGATCACTTACTTGTGTAATGTGTTCAACACTTCATATATTCGTATTTACATAACAATACAGTATATCCATGGATGTTAAGGCTGGTACTACGAAAATATTCCTGGCGACGACAAACTTACATTTCGCACAACATGAATTTTGTTTTCACCATTGGATGCATTTATTTTCGATCACAGGCGAATTTACTTTCCGGAAAGGGTGTATAACAAGTTGATTAAGAGCAGCACTGAATAAACTAATGACAAATATATCCTTTAGTAGCAGATATTTGTATACTTTTAATGTAGTGACTTTAATTTACTAGATGACAGCCGATAAATCTAAATGGGCATATTAGTAGCAGTCATAGCTATTGCCTGTCAATTTTGTACACCTATACAGTATTTCCGAGAAGTAATGTCGCAAAAATCAATATTTTATAATGTTTTACGCTCACATCGTTCGACCTCAGCTTGAATACGGCCTGGATATCAATCGCTTCACGGCCTCTCAACTTTACGCTCTAGAGGAAGCCCAGAATAATTGCATCAAGAAAATCTACGGTGTTCGAGGCAAAGCGTCCACTAAGGTTATGCTCCACATGTCCAAGTTGCCTCTCATGTCTGAACGAGTCAGCATATTGCAGGCACAGCTCCTCTTTCGTTCCTTATATTTGCCAGAAGATGTACTGCTTGCTTGTCTGTTACCTTATATCCGCAATACCAGAAGAAGCCAGTGGTGCACTCTCTTTCATACAACGCTTTGGAAAACGGCGCTGTCTGCTACTGAGGAATCCGATACTCGCTCACTCAAGTCTACTAAACGACGCTCTTTGCAGCAGAATCTAGAGATCCGCCAACGATGCCGAAACTCCAAACTGCTTTCTAGCTGCCGTCGATCGATCTCTCTGGATCCTATGCTTTGGTTGCCCATGTCCAAGTCAGAGCGCAGTCGCTGTATACGCTGAAGACTAGGCTGGCTTCCTGGTGGCAAACGTCGACCATGTCCCAAGCATTCAAAGCAACAACTATCTAAGAATCACGCTATTAGTTGCCTTGATATGTATCGACGTCTGTTCATACCTGAAGCTATACGAGATCCATTGTCATTCTTTCTGAACATGCTTCCTTTACGCCCTTCGGTTCCCCCAAACCTAGCCCCCACCTAGTCTCAGCGATGGCTGATTATATGCTCCCTACTACATGAATTAGATCAGCTACACCATAACAAATTGATCCCTACTAAGCATCCTCATAGTCAAAAGCTTCTTGTATGGCTAAAGCAATTCATTTAACCTTTTCATCGATAACCCTACTCATTAATTTTCGTTTACATTTTTTACCCTTTTACCCGTAAGGGGTTTTTTCACTACCATTCACTTCCAAACAGACTGAACGGGTCCGGGCGAACGTTTATTATATTATTTTAATTGTCGGTTTGGGCAAAAATAATTGTCGCTTTCGAAAAATCATAATGTCTACTTAGGCAAATATGATCGTCGATTTCAAAAAAGCACATTGACAGTTCTTATCGAAAAGTAAATAGCGATTTTTATAGCAGAATGTCAGTTGTACTACGGAAGTTTATTTGAGTAAAAATACCCATATGAATTTTATGATAGCAGTTAATTATTTGTCGCTTGGAATGATTGCAAAAGTCATACAGACCACTAACTAGTACCATTGGATGGCCAGCTAGGTCAAGTATTTAGTAGTGCAGGGTGACTCCAGGTGAATTAAATTAAAATACAACCAATCATAATGTAAAAGCAATAGAACACAACTTACCAAACGTGAAGAAAAATACACTTTTTTCGAAAGGCTCATCAAAATTGCATGAAGAGCATAGAGAACTTTTAGTTGAGCTGATTGACAAGAAGCCGGCATTAGTTTTAGACCAAGTAGTGGATAATTTGATGAGTCAATTCATGGGTCTGGAAGGGTCAAAAGCTGCATTATACGATTTCACGAAGGAAAAATGCAGAATCAGTTTGAAGAAAGCTTACTTCCACTCAATCGAATGAAATTTACCTGAAAACCTGGAAAAAAGACACAGCCGGGAAACCGGATGACAGCAGACCGATATGAATATTTAAGCAACTGTGTATTTATTGACTAAGCGGCTTTACATGTCAATATGAAAAGAGCAGTAGCTTGGTCGAAGGTCGGTACTTGTGCGGAGGCAGTCTTATCAAAGTCTCGAACAAAATCAACGATAATTCTTGGAGCAATTTGTGCCATTATTGGCGTTATTAACGTGAAAATAAGAAGACCGAGAGCTTTGGTCCAGAGTGAAAAGAGGAAGTCAAGAACGTGTGCAGCTGCTTGCAAGGATCCAGGTAGAGGTAGTACTGTGACAGGACAGGACATTACTTCAGCTTTATGTGCAATACGATGGATATTTTGGAAAAATATGAGCAATTTAAGGGACACTATGTTGTGATGTACAATGCACTTATCCACAAGAATAGCAATGTTGAAAAAGAGATCAAGAGACGCGGTTACGGCTGCGTGTATCTTTCACCTTATTCTCCTGAACTGAATCCCATCGAGCAGTTTTGGTCTGTTTGCAAAAGCAAAATGAAACGAGAACAGCTGCTGGAAGAGGAGACATTGTCCTCAAGAATACGTGATGCATGCAATAGTATTCTTCTGAGTGACCTTCAAGGTTTTTGTAGATACTCTGTAACAAGATTTGATGATTGCTTAAATAAAAGCGTTCTATGACAAAATACGTGTAGTGTGTGTTGCACCCCAAAATATATTTCGACGGTGCGAAAAGCATTTGTCACTTGGTACGTCTTTTTTCTTTAACTTGTGAGCCATTGTATGACCCTAGTCTACTCCAAATCCATGGTGAATATTTCTTTTTTATTTCATCCAAATTATCAAGTATAATGCATGGTTTAGGGGAGGAGAGGGAGAGATAGCACAGAGGGAGGATAATGAAGGAAAAGAGAACAAAATACATTATGATCCAAATCGTAATGAACATAAACGACGTCGATCTTCAGATGCATCAACCAATGAGTACAACGAAGGATTTGTGGGACGACCATGCGCTTTAATCAGCTCTTCGTTATCACATGAAGTACGTAAACGCCAAAATGCGTCAGTGATTTTGCTGATGAAAGTGACTAATTCTTCAATTGATTGAGGAAATGTCATATAGGCTATTTCTTGCATGACATAGATGCCATCGTGTCGTAAACGGGCGAGGAAAAGAGTAACGCTAAAGCCTATTACAAGAAAATAAAGGGGTTCTTTATATATTTATCTTTTCTTCCATTTTTCTTTGCTTATCATGTATTTGGAACGATAAAGATGCGTTCAACTTGTTTTCGGCAATTGTATCTTTTGCAAAAGTGGCCAAACGTGCCAAGTCGTAGCAAAGCATGTATTTATCGCATGTTGGTTGTACCACTTTTGCCTCACCAAATCCAAGGCTTGGTCCAAAAGTCATTTGTGTAAGCTTGCTAATGGTTGCATCACAAGTGACGTTTGCCCAACGTAAAAGTACATTTTCATCTGGGTTGGCCAAAATGTTGGCAAGGATGGGATCAAAGTACGTGGTCAGAAGCTCTCCTTCCGCAATGGTTGTTTTATCTTTGATGGCAGTTTCTTCAAACTATACTCGTGAGAAATGTAATGTCTATCAGCAGTACACTATTTCCAGAAAGAGATGTCACGCTGACTTGTCGCTTTTTCGTATAAATTGTATTATAAAAACTACAAAAATACGACTTTACTTTTTGAAAAGACTGTATACAGGACTGTAAAAAAAAAAAATGCATTAACTGCAATGGAGGCTACAAAGTATTACTTGCAAATGCTCTTTGAAGAGTTATATGATTTCTGTATCTGTTAAACAAACCCATTTGTTGACCCTCGTCAAAGCAAATCGCCCAGTTGAATCTACCCTTTGCCTTGGATCTCTTATTACTGACAAAGATGAGATCTGCGCTTGGTTCATCCAGATAGACGTTTTCGATAGGTGTGGCGCTTCCTGATTCGGTAGATAGGTGTTGACGCTTAAAGTGCTCGGTGTATTTCATACTATTTTCTGCATAGCAACGAAGGCGCTTTCGAGATTCCGCGGTCGTATCTTGTTCGCACCTGAGTATTTTTTTCAATTGATTTTGAAAACGGTCTTTAGCATATCTTTGTAGTATTTATGATCTTGCTGTTCTTTGCTGAACTCGGCAATGGCGACATCAATTATTCCCTTAAAGATAATTGCATGGTTTAAGAGCCTTAAGTCCATTCTGAATCGAGTATCAGCTGATAAGACTTGATACGAAACAGTATCACCCCAGTGAGCATAAATGCCCGTGTCTCTGGATACTATTTCAATCAATTGACCCCAGATCTTTACAGCTAAATATTGTTCAGATATAAATCCTTGATTTCCTTATTTAAAGATATCTGGTGAATAAAGGTATAACTTGAAAAGATGCTCATACACATCGCGAATAATATTACTGTTGTGAATATTTGGCTCTGTCAGTAACCTCCTTAACATACTTTTTGTAGTTTTTTGTCATAGTCTACCAAGTTTTGATAGTCAACAATAATAACACTGCTTGCTTTGTTTATAGTAGTTTTGAACATGCTTAAGCATGTTTCGATTGATTGTAGTGGCAAACGATGAAGTTGACTTCCTGTTGTATTATCGGTCTGCGCATTTCGAACTGTTGGAATTTGTTCTTGCTTGCGTAAATGTAGCAAGGACAACCAATGCGCTGCGTGTCCTTTTGGCGAACAGCGATCTTTTCGTCCCCAGGCACAAACTTGCAGTTGTTTTGGTACTCCTTCCCATGTTGAGTGTTCATTTTAGTTTTTTCGAAAGAGTATGGAGAAGTATTTCTGTGCCTGAACCACTCTAAAAGTGTCATCGCTCTTTGAACATCGCGTTAGATGACACCACAAGTAGTGTGAAGAGGTAATACCTGTAGCATCTGCTTAACTCGAGTATAATCTTACAGAAGAGCATACATTCTACTTTACATTGCTCTATTGCATCTGAAAAGAATAAGAATAAGAGTGCTGACAACAATAATCATATTGACGACATTAATATAAATAGCAATCATAGATTCTCTCCCACTATAAAACGCACACTCGTCTTATTTTAATAATACTCCTTACTTCTTTTCACCATAAGCCTAATTCGCAAAACATCAACTTATTTGGCTTTATTTCAAATGACAACCAAAGCTGAATACAACAGATATTAATTATGCATTTGAAGATTCTATAAAAATATCAAAAGTGTTACTGATGCCCTGAAAAATATAATGTGTAGATATCCAAATTCAAGTATCAGTACAATGAGAGAAGTCAGCATTTACTCCATTCAAGTCATACAAATCAAGATGACATTGATCAAGTATTTTCTTAAAATCAAAAGCGCATTCAAAGCTGTAGAATGTTGATCTGCTTTAGTGCCAGCAGTATATAAAGAGGAGGTTGTGCTTGGTATCCGTATACGATATGTTTGCATATCTTTATGTAAGTTGCGTTTGCCCATTTTATTGAAGTTATGATAATAGTAATAGCGTATGCTCTGAATTTGTAGAAAGATCTTCACGATCAAATTGAAGTTTTCAAGCACTTGGAGCCCAAGTAACTGGGACTAATTGAAGTAGCTGATAAAGACATGGTATATTTTGTTGATCCAAACTTATTCATTACATAAATAAATGGAAAGAGAGTTTCACTGTCTTATTAGCAAAATACCTAGATATTTGATATTTATTTAATAGTTCATATGCTCTCTTCCACCATTAGTAATCACCTGATATCTGGAGGGTATACTTGCCAATGGCTTCTCCGTATGTTCAAATGGTAGTTTTTTCAATTCATCATGAAGGACGGTATTGAGCTGCTCTATGTTGACAATTTCGTGTTTCCTCTTTTGAATGCGCTGCTTCAGGGCTCACCACAAATGCTTAATTGGGTTCAGATCGGGGCTTTGATCTTGGCCAGTTGTCTCTTGATCTGATATCTCTACTTTTACCATTTGCTCTGTTTACTAGTATGGCAGGCAGCGCCATACTTCTTGAAATATGAAATTCCTCTCCTCTTCCTCTTTCAAGTTTTACGACCAAAGGAAGGAAGCATTCTAGGTGCTTGATATATGCTACTTGATCGACGGAGCCTTTCTATGTCACTAAAGAACCATAACTGTTATGCCAGAAACAGTTTTAAACCATTACTGTGTTCTTGATTTGGGTGCTTTGGTAGCGTTTCGTTATATTTAGTTGCTAATAGATTAGATTTACCTACATCTGGATTGATGCTAATTGCCAAGACCCCTGAACGTGCCAAGGATATTGAGCGTGAAATGGTTGGAGGAAAGATTAGGAAAGAGTATGTATGTAGAGTAGATGGCGAATTCCCAGAGTAAGTGCAAATACTGTTCTTCTTGTCATACGTAATTTGATACTTATTTGTTAGAGGGGAAATCACTTGTGATGCACCTATCAAGTGTATATCACACAAGATGTCTGTCAATTACGTTCATGATGATGGCAAACCCTCAGTTACTAAATTTGAGAGACTCAGTTTTAACGGCAAGTCAAGTGTTGTTCGTTGTAGGCCATTGACTGGACGTACACATCAAATTAGGGTTCATTTGAGATACTTGGGTTATCCTATATCAAATGATCCACTTTACGGTAATAAAACCACTTGGGCACCAATGATACGGCCAGGAGAAAAGATGACAAGCGAAGATGCCAGGCTGTTGGTAGACAAACTGTTTGAATATTCGCCAATGGAAGACTGGGGTGAACTCTGCCTTGTACCGAATGCACAAAAGACACAAGTTGAACTAGATGACTCAAGATGCCCAGAGTGCAGTTGCTCTCTTACTTTTGCCAAGAAATATGAGCAACTGTGCATCTATTTACACGCCTGGCGATATGCTAGCGACAACTGGAATTATGAAACTGAGCTGCCTTTTTGGGCTAAAGAAGACTTTAATGAAGACGATGCACCCTTAAAATATCAAACCATTATTCCAGATCAATAAAACTTTTTTATTTTATTATTTTTAGGCTGATAATTTCATCTTTTGCTCCAATTCTCTTGTCAAATCCGTTATTTCATCATTTTTTTCACAGCAAGGGAAGCCTAACCACATTGGAATCAATAAGTGTCGTCTTTGGTACGACAGACAATTCATTTTTGTATATCTGTAACAAATCTAGCGCAACAAAGAAATTTAGCTATGTGAAAATAGTAATTTTTGCTTAAATTACTGAAAAGGGATGGGAGAAAATGATAGATTTGTATTAAAATTGGAGTAAATGTGTACCATTATGCGCTTTTCCTTTTCCCACTGAATTTCTGAAAGCCTCAATATGGCAAATATATGTAAACCAAAGTGTACTGAAGCTCTTAATATAAAGAAATTAATAGCAAAGCAAGAACAACTATTCATATCCCAGAATATCTTTCTTATCTGACCTGAAGTTTGGGATATTGAAAGTATGTTAACGATTATTTTTATTTGCTTAAACTCTGATATGTTTAATATATTATAATATTGTGCGTTGGAAATCAAAGATTATTTGCCTTTGCTAAAGCTTGGGCGCGCCGTTGGTTATACCAAAACTCAGTACAGCCCATGGTCTTTCGCCATGTCTCAAATTCACCTTGTAGTCGACCTCTGTGCTCCTCTGGTACAAGAGAGCCCAAAATCATACTGTAACGTGAGTAGCAATGCTGGCGGTCATAGTGCTTGAACATGTTCGCAAATGTTTTAACAGATAACTCAGTTACATTATTGATTTACCAATGGATATTAGCAACTTTAACGCGTTATCGATTCCTAGTTGATACTAATAACGGCGTCTTATGTCTAACTTTGCTTTTTATTTCTTGCTTTGTTTCTGTTATCGAGCCTTTATCCATTAATGAGCGAAAGTAAAAGAAGTGATTAATTATTTCTCAGTGTTGTAATCAACAATAAAGGCAAACACTACGTGCGCTAAAAAATCCACGAGAAGAACGATGCTACAAGCACTACCTGTGATGCCGTCAGCAAAACATTTCAATGTGTGGTATCAAGCTAAGATTATTCAGGAATCGAGATATTCTTATGTTCTTTGATGTAAAATATGCATTTATAAAGTCACCAACTTGGTTTATTTCTTTTAAAGAAGAACAAGAGATAAAAAGAAATGCTTTTATTTCTTTATTCTAATTTTATGTTGTCAGCTTGATCAAGATAATTCACATCCTATTGAGTTTCTTTTTTCTTTTTTTTTTTGAATTTTACCACCATCAACACTTGCAACACTGAAATCGCTGCATCCGTTACTGCTATACCTCATATTGAAACATTGCTGAGCCTCATTAAGGTCGCCGGGAATAATGTCATCACTGACAGAATTTATTCTTCAAAGACTGAAATTCATGAGGTATTTAAGCGAACAAAGAAAAAAGATATCCCTTATTTAAACTAATTTTATGAGGCCTTTGACTTGCACGGAAAGGAGTGCAATATTATGTTCAGCACTCGTAATTCCAGCAAATATGTCATTAAGCTCGTCTGTAAACACTATGGACTTTGTAAAATTACGAATGAGGAGCCCGATGATGTTCAAAAGAAAGATGAAGAATAGCCAAAAGATTGGATGTGGATGTTATATTAGAAAAATTGGCGTCTGGTACATTCACAGCTGGAAGACTGAGCGCAACCACCCCATCCCCAAAATCAGAGATATCTATGCAAAGTATCGTGTCCAGCCTGGAGCTGTTGAGACGAAAATCAAAACTCTTTTTGAATCTGGATTGAATTATCAGGCTGCATTCAATGCTCTCCAGGCCGAAGGAATTGATAACGTGATAAAGAAGGACTTGGAGAACATGTACGATCGTGTGGTGAAGTCAAAGAATGACAAGACGTATGACCACAATTATTGGACTTCAAGAGAAAAACTACATAGTCAACTACACCATCAATGATAACAAAGAAATAGATATGGTGTCTTTCTGCCATGAGGATTCAGTCTTGAAGGCTAAACGTATGCCTGAGAGCTTGATAATCGACGCAACGCACAAGTCAAACATACATAAACTTGTGTGTGTAAACGTTGTTGGGACAAGTAATGTTATGTCTAGAGAATATGGCTCTTTAGTGACATTCGAGATTGCTAGAGCCTGAATAAGAGAAGAGCAGGCATTCAACTATGAATGGGTGTTAAACTGCTTGGAAGAAGCGATTTGGCCAGAATCAGCTAAGGAAAAGCTTCCCTTGCCTACAGTCATTGCCAAGATAAATTTAATGAAGGAAGTGGTGGAAAAGGATAAGCATAAACGAGACATTATTAAGCTTGATATTCAAGCAATTTTCCAAAAGTTTGCGTTAACTGCAGCAACAGAAGCTCAGATGAATGAAGCTGTAAAAGAGATAAAGAAATGCTTCCTGAAGGACGGTGTGTGCCGTACAAAAATATTAAAGAAAAAAGAAGACAAAAAAAATACTAAGAGAAAATATCGCTTTTAAGATGACATTAACCAATTAAAACTTCGTCTTGAATATAGAAATTCATTACGACTGAGAAAGAAGCAGTAGTTGAGTTGCTTAGTGCAGCCAAAGAAAACAAAGCTACAAGATACATTGATCTGTAAGTGAGAATTACCTTTGTTAGGCAAGACTATTGTATATAATTTGTATCAATTGTTTTCACTAAAAGCACCAAGATTGATAGAATGATGAAAGAAAGTGCACACTGGACCAATTTGCACACTTATAAACACATGCACTTCGATAGTAGATCAACAAAAAGAGTCAAAGGATCGCATTCATTTTTAAAGCATTCAGTTCATTCCTCATCAAACACTATTAACATTGTAACGGAGAAGATAGATAAGTGGGTGAGTAGAAGAGTAAGCTGTCTTTATCTACTTATAAACAGCACATACATATGACTAAAATCCTTCACACTCATAAAAATAGAATAGCGAACGACAGCATAAATCTACGATAGAAAGCCTTTCATATCGAGCCGATTATATAAAACAATCAGATACTTACAAAAAAGCTACTGGCTTAATACAAAAAATATATGCTTTCGTTCTAGCACATATATCCAGTGAGTTGACTAAACTTAAAGCCTCAACCACTCCTATCAAACCCAACAAAGCATGCCTTTACGCAGTAAGGCTTCACTTCAACTTACCATGCATTATACCCTTCAAGCGTGCCATTATCAGCTATACCTAGACGCTGACGTATCGACTATAATGAAGGAGAGAATAGTAAATATGCTTATGGTAACAAACTAAATGCCATTGCTGCACCCGAACAATCCGATAATTTTCGTTTTGTCTAAAAAGATGATGATTACAAACAAAAGAAATAGTATAAGTACCTTCTCTTGTTGAGCTAAAAACTATCAATTCGAATCAATTCAATTCATACTTTATTCTTTACTCAAATAAACAGGCAGCCTTTTGTGATAAAACTTCCTAATCTCTTCTTTTTTATCTTTTACTTTACTTTATACGACACAGCTTGACTAACTTTAAAAATCCAGTAGTCGCTTCAAACATCTAAACTTATAAAAACTTAAGAAAACTCTCTATATTAATAACAGCCCCTACAGCTCCATGAAAAATAACATTATATAAAAAAAGTGCTGCACCGTTACTAATGCAACTTGTAGCTATTTGGTTTATATCAGAGAAAAGTGCTTATGAGTACATTATATGTAGAAGAAAAGGAAGAAGAAATAAGCGAAGAGAATATAAACCAGAAGGTAAATAACTTTAATATAACGTGCAGATACTGTATTGCTATCTGTTAGTTAACTTAATATCATTTTTAAATCCATTGAATATGGTGTCCGAAGAGGAGTTCTCGCTCCTTCTTTGTGGCCAACGCTTAATTTTGCAGAGAACGTTTTTGACTTTTTAGAGTCAGTTTAAGACCAAAAAAAGACTTAATCAGCGAAATAACAAAAGTTAGTGGCAGCATAACGGACCAAAAACCTGAAATACGTCTTACCGTCATTAGCTGGTTTAAGGAACAAAGGACGTCCTAAGGGCACAAAAAGAAGAGAGACATTACATGAAATTATAGCTGAGAAATCAAGAAAGCCAAAATAGGGAAGAAAGAGGAAGAAAAAAAAGAAAAGTATTATTACTTTAACGCTGTATTCACAGTGATCAACACTACATGCACTAGAAGATAAGCTAATGTTTAATGTTACGAGAGCTGTCTCTAGGCGCTACATCAAAGGCTGTCCAATGCATTTATCATAATTACACTTGAATGATCTTGGTTGATAGCACATGACAACATAAAAATTAGATTAAATAACAAAGCTTCTTTTTATCTCTTCCTTCTTGAAAAAAAATCGAAACCAAGATGATAACTTTATTAACTTGTATCTACATCAAATAGCATGAGAGTATTTCGGTTCCTGAGTAAGTTTAGCTTGATATCACACATTGAAGCGATTTGTTGACGGCATCACAGGTAGTGCTTGTAGCATTGTCCTTCTTGTGGGTTTCTTAGTGTACGTAGTATTCGCCTTTATTGCTACCCAGTCCCAATTCGATCAACTCGGTAATTCTTCAGTTGCGTTTGGTAGTGATGACTGGGAAGATGACGTGGTTCCCGAGGGTAGCCAAGAAAAGCACACTGGCGATACCTGGAAAGACTGGAGACGTTTCTTGGAAGAATTTGTCAATAAACTGCACTCACCAGCTTTAAGGTATTGACAGGATTTTTTTCTCATTTACGATATCTAATAGAGGTCCATCTAGCCCGGAAAGATATGGCGTTGTGTGGTATGGCCCCAGTTTACGGCGTCGCCCATCTCTTTCTGAAGACATGTACACCCGTATGAGGTGCGTAATACCAACTACTATTCAACTACCAATTTCAAGCAGCTTCAAAGATACAATAAAAAGCATTGTCCAATCAGTATGTACACTTGCGAAGCAGCCAAATCATGATTGGCATTACTAACCTAGTAGCTATTAGGACAATCGACTCACGATACTAGAGATGTTTGAAATTCTGTGAAAGGTCAAGGGTGACGATGTTGAAATGAAATTCTTGATTGTGATATCTTCATTATTGTAAGTCATGGGCTCATGATCCCAACTCTTGTCAGCAAAGACCAACATTCTCATGGACTAATGCAGAGCAAGTTTACGATGACTTGGGCATCACTGAGACATGCCTGAATGAAAATCTGATGAAGCCCTCGTTACAAACATGTTCGAGTATGCTTCATTAGCAATAATATGATGCTACGTACTTCCCCGGAGAAGTAGAACTGGAGTCAATGACGGAACAGTTGAGCAGTCAAGGCTTGCTAGACCATCGTTTTAAGTATAGCGCAGAAGATCGAAATACCGATTTATGTAAGAGGCATAACTAGTAATTTGCTTCCCTATATTCGACTACACTTGAATCTGACGGTAAGAAAGAGTAGCAAGAGCTAACTTAACAGCGTAGATTACTGATGGGATATTAATAGGCGGTAATAGAGAAGACATTAGCCGACTACGAAAAAATCATCAAAATCGGCTACAAAATGCGGTGATAAACGGTGGCGATGAACCTTCAGATTCCTTAATCTCAATTGTCAATCCGACTATTGCACTGGTTTGAACATGCAAAAGACTATTTAATAGTAATATAAACTTTTCTCTCTTTTCTTCTCTCTAGTTTTTTGTTGCAGTTAACTGAAAGAAAAAACACATATCATTAAATTTAACTCTTTAAGTATGTATAGGACAAGTTGCACTCGCTCTTTACGTAACGATGGAGTGTTGCCTTGGACGCTTCCAGTCCTTCAAATTTCTGAAGCAGTCGTTCCATCAGCCGCTCCTCATCAAAGACATAGTCAATAGGTTCAGAGCAGCCATGTTCATCAACAACATGGCCCTGTCTATCTTCGTAAAAAAAAACAGACAGCTCATTTTAGAATGTAGGAGTGTAGACATGGAAGTGGACTGCTGCCTCATTTATTGAGTAAATTTACTTCAGTTTTTATTTCAGTACACCATTTCCAGAAAGAGATGTCGCGCTGACTTGTCGCTTTCCCGTATAAATCGTGTTGTAAAAACTACAAAAATGCGACGTTACATTCTGAAAAGATTGTATCTAATCTTATGTTGTTATAAATCTCGATCACACAACTTACGCAGCTGTAATTCTTCAAACTACTGATTACTGGTGAATACCTAAGACTTGTGCCATAGTAAGCAAAAACAATTCTACATGACCCCTTGTCTTGATCTTGGCATCAACATCATTGACGGTATGGACCAACTTCAAGTAAATGTCATCTGGCCATGTGATGCTATCATCCAATGATTCTGCCAAGAGGGAATGGTGTAGTTTGTGGAGTTGGGCTTGATCGAAAGAATACAACATGGCATTACTGTGCTGATTGGAGCTAGCAAGAGGATATGAGACAGAGACAACAATTCATGCACAGATTTTTCAATTTGAAGAAGGCTATCTTTTGCTTGTTGTATCACACTACATCTATACCAGTAAAACGCATCAACCACGTCAAAGTCACCAGTCAACCAAGGAAAACGAGGAGGTGCTTCTGTAGTGGTAGTGGTGGCATTGGTATCAAGTGGGGCTGTTGTTGAGGAAGTTGTGGGTATCGGACTGGATAGAATGCTCTCGTTATCCTGGATGGCTGGTGAAGAAGAGGAAGAGGTAGTCATGCCCTTGTTGTCGTTTGAGTCATTGTTTGCATCATCATCGTTGATGCTTGCGGTAATGGCTGCGGCTTCCTGGCACAACATGACTCCTGCAAAGGAGAAACGTTCCACACGAGTGTCCAGCTATGCAAGGATACGTGATTTTTCCAACCAGTACAATTTGTAATCACTGCTACGTTTCCATTGACCATAGTCCTGCATTAATCGTTCTTTTTCTTGAGTAATTTGTGTTTATCTACAAAAGCCTTACAGGTAAGGTTGTCTCTGTTTTCATGCACCACTGAGCATCAGCAGCAGTAATACGTTGCCGCTTTCTCTTGGAAGACATAGCCTATCAATAATAATTTTTAGGCTTGCGACATTTATCTTTTACAAAACGACAAATTCCACTGTTCGCTCTGTACAGCTTTTAACCTAAAACGAGATAATTTTTGGACCAATTAAAAATCATTTCGAGATATAACACAAAAAATAAGCATAATATTAGATACGTAACCTAAACAAGCTTTATAAACAGTCTAGTTTATGCATTGATTACAGATAATACAGAGACAAAATGAAGACTCTTTTCTTTTTTATGGCTATTCTTAAGCTATAGACATTGTTGTAAGATGTCTACAACTAGGCTCTTCGTGTGTAACTTGTGAGTACTTGAAATATGACTAAAGTGTATTCGCACGTTTGATTTGATTTCTTTCTTTTTTATTATTTCTTTTTTTTTTTTTTGTAGTTACTATAGTAATGACTAATAAAGCAAAAAACAGAATAGAGCAAATAGCACAACATTTGGATTCGAAAAAGGATGAAGCTCTCGAAAAATCAGAATGGAAGGTACTCCTATAATGCATCCCTTTGACATTCTTTATTTAAAACAATGCTACTTAGGATACTATTCTAGAAATAAAAAAGAGACAGTATCTCAATCGGACCGCAGATCCTGATGATCGAGGGTACATACGACAGAAAACAACAGGCAAGCTCTGGGTGCGCGAAAGGATTGGTCTATTTTTGGATAAAGGCAGTTTTAGAGAGATTGGTAGCATCGCGGGCAATGCAAGGTACAGCAAGGATGGTTCGTTGCAGAGTTACACAGGAGCCAATTTCGTTGCTGGAAAGGGTACAGTAGCCGGAAGGGATGTCATTGTGGGGGCTGATGATTTTGCCATCCGAGGTGGGCATGCAGATGGTGCTGTTTGGGGAAAATCTTTGTTTGCTGAACAACTGGCTCGAAAACTTAAAATACCTATGGTAAAATATTCAATGATCAGCAAAACAAAGGCGTGGGTCTAAACGGCTATTAGGTAAGATTAATAGACGGAAGCAGTGGCGGAGGATCTGTTACGTTAGTACTCGATAAAGGAGCCACCTATTTACCTCCTCTATTTGGAATGCACGACATGATTGCCAGTCTATCCGAGATTCCTATAGTAGCTGCTGCTTTAGGACCTGCTGTTGGATTAGGAGCAGCCCGTGCAACGCTCACACACTTTTCCGTGGTTTCAAAAGACATTGGATCCTTATTTGCAGCTGGACCTCCTATCGTTGAGAATGCAACATTTGAAAATGTGAGCAAAGAAAGCTTGGGAGGCGCTCTTGTTCATACTGCAAATGGAACATTTGACAACTTAGCCGAATCTGAACAGGATTGCTATGATCAAATACATCATTTTTTAAGCTACTTACCTTCAAATACCGGACAGCTGCCGCCTATAGAGACAACGTATGATCCTGTTGATCGACGGGATGACGAGCTACTGTCGATCATTCCCAAGCGACGCCAACGGATATACCAAGTTCGGGAAATCCTGACGCGTGTTTTAGATAAGAGCTCCTGGTTTGAAATTGGATCACGATGGGGTGATGGGGCCGTGTGTGGTTTAGGTAGGCTTGGTGGATATGTCGTGGGCATAATCACTTTTGACTGTACGCTAAAAGGAAGCGTCATATCCGCTGCCAGCTGTCAAAAGTTTAGGCGTCACATTGACTTGTGTGATACATTTGGTATTCCCATAATCAATTTTGCGGATTATGCAGGATTTGCTGTGGGCACCAAAGCAGAAAAGGAAGCGTAAGTCTCTCATACCATAAAATAGTGAGAATAACATTAACATGCTATCAGGACCATCCGACATGGATCCACACTGACCGCAGCATTATACCAATGTGACGTGCCTTACTTTAGTGTTGTGCTTCGTAAAGTGTTTGGTGTTGCCGGAGCTGCATTTGTAGATAATCGTGTGCCAAACATGCGCATCGCATGGCCAAGTGGTGATTGGGGAAGCTTACCTTTGGAGGGTGGTATTTATGTAAGCATGTATTGTGACCATAGCCTGTGTTTCTAATTCTCATAGGCTGCCTACAGACGTGAACTTGAAGCTGCAGGTGACAAACGTCACGAGCTTTATGAAAAGATAATGGCTCAATTTGAATCTGTTCGATCTCCTATTCGCACTGCTGAAATATTCGACATGCCCGAAATCATAGACCCTCGCGATACAAGACCTATCTTGTGTGAATGGGTTAAGTTGGTGTATGACCATACCTTACCACAGCGATTAGAAAGAATTAAGGCTCAGGGGCCTCGTATACTCTATCGCCCTTGAACTGTATGGGACGCCTACTATCGAATCTCAAGATGATCTCATTATATATATTATGCAGAAAAAATGGTACAGTCAATAAATAAAGGTGATGGGATATTGATCTCTAGTGTTACCACGTGTCATTTTCAGTAAAACTCTTAAAAAGGAAATTAGATTCGAGCGAAGGGCTAGGTTAAGAAAGTAAGAGGAAATGATGCAAAGAGAAAAGAGAGACAAAGGAAAAAGTAAGAAAAAAAAAGAGATAACCATGGTATCTCCAAGGTTACTGACAGCATGCAAAAAGGGCATGTGTATAAATATATGTATGACAAAAACAACTGATGACGACAAGTAAACATTTATATATTTTTTCTCTTCTTTTTTTGCTTTCCCCTTTTTGTCTTTTCCTTTTTTTCGAGGACAAAAGACTTTAGACGCTTCTTTTTTGCTTGTATACAAATATATAAACCTCTTTTATTAGTTTTCATCACTGTATAACTTTAATGGCCACTATAGAAAGCAATGCTATTGCTACAGATGACAAAGTAAATGGTAAAGAAACAGTAGCAGTAGAAGAACAGGATAAAAAATCAACTCAGAATAACACTCCAAAGACTACACCCGAAACCCACTCTGTTCCTACTTCTCCGCCTTATCCACCCTATGGCTATGATCTGTCTGGTGATCCCGTCAGCTTAACCTATGTTTATCCGCTTAGCCCTCAATTTTCGGTTCAATATTATCCTGATTATGCTAGTTATCCAGGTTCACCCTCATTATCACCTTCTATGAACCCAACAAGCCCACCCTTCAGCCCAACCTTTCAATACCAGCAAGTGGCACTTTCTCCTCCCACCGCTTATATGCTCCCTCCTCACTCAGCTCAACCGTTTCCTCCACTTCATTTAGCTTCACCCGTTTTAAGCACAACTCCTATTCCTGGGTCCCCTCCTCATCAATACCTTCCTGGCCCATATATCATTTCCGCTGCTGACAACAGAAATAGTAAAAGAAAACATCAAAAACAAGATTTACAGCAACACTTGGAATCTGACATAAATGCATACCATACACATAATATCTATGTACGTGGATTACCTTCATCAACAACAGATGAATCCTTTTTAGAAATGTGCCAAGCGTAAGCAGAGTGTGATGATGTCAAATATTATTGCTAAAAATATACCCGTTTTTTCTAGATATGGAACAGTGTCTTCTTCGAAAGCTATCATTGACCAAAAGACGGGTGAATGTAAAGGCTATGGCTTTGCCATGTTTGAACATGAAAAAGATTGTGAAGAAGCGATTGAAGGGTTAAACAAGTCCGGATTTCAAGCATCTTATGCTAAAGTTGGACAAGAGTCCTTTAGTTCACGACTTCGACATCTTCAAGATGAAACATCAACAAACATCTACATCTCCAATTTACCCTTAGATATTACGGAACAGGTAAGCTTGTTCATCTCAAGTACAGGGAGTACTCACCCTTTTTATTATAGAAACTGGAGGAATTGTTTTTACCCAATCAAACTGTATCGAGCCGTATATTACGAGACCCACAGTCAGGTATTAGTCGAGGCGTAGGATTTGCTAGAATGACGGATCGGGAGGCCGCGGTTGCCATTATTGAAAAATTTAATGGTCATGTCATCGAAGGTTCATCCGCCCCATTGCAGGTGCGATTTGCTGACTCACCTGCACAAAAGAAGCTAAAAAGTCAATCAGCCGCCCGTAGACGAATGGTTAGACCTCAACCCATTGCTGGGTTTTCTGTGAGACCTTTGATGCCGATTACACCAGAGACCATGCTTGGTTTTGCTCCTGCACCTACTCAACCCTATTATACTGAACACCACCATTTAATTCATCCACAGTAAGTTATTATAACTTTGATAGTTCCTTGTTCTCACATATAAATTAGATACGCACATCATCTTCATCAATCTCATCATTTTGTACAACAACATACACCTAATAGCAATGATAATACAAGCAAAAAAAGTGATGAAATAACGGATTTGACAGGAGAATTGGAGCAAAAGATGAAATTATCAGCCTAAAAATAATAAAATAAAAAAGTTTTATTGATCTGGAATAATGGTTTGATATTTTAAGGGTGCATCGTCTTCATTAAAGTCTTCTTTAGCCCAAAAAGGCAGCTCAGTTTCATAATTCCAGTTGTCGCTAGCATATCGCCAGGCGTGTAAATAGATGCACAGTTGCTCATATTTCTTGGCAAAAGTAAGAGAGCAACTGCACTCTGGGCATCTTGAGTCATCTAGTTCAACTTGTGTCTTTTGTGCATTCGGTACAAGGCAGAGTTCACCCCAGTCTTCCATTGGCGAATATTCAAACAGTTTGTCTACCAACAGCCTGGCATCTTCGCTTGTCATCTTTTCTCCTGGCCGTATCATTGGTGCCCAAGTGGTTTTATTACCGTAAAGTGGATCATTTGATATAGGATAACCCAAGTATCTCAAATGAACCCTAATTTGATGTGTACGTCCAGTCAATGGCCTACAACGAACAACACTTGACTTGCCGTTAAAACTGAGTCTCTCAAATTTAGTAACTGAGGGTTTGCCATCATCATGAACGTAATTGACAGACATCTTGTGTGATATACACTTGATAGGTGCATCACAAGTGATTTCCCCTCTAACAAATAAGTATCAAATTACGTATGACAAGAAGAACAGTATTTGCACTTACTCTGGGAATTCGCCATCTACTCTACATACATACTCTTTCCTAATCTTTCCTCCAACCATTTCACGCTCAATATCCTTGGCACGTTCAGGGGTCTTGGCAATTAGCATCAATCCAGATGTAGGTAAATCTAATCTATTAGCAGCTAAACATAACAAAAAAGTTATACTCCAGAAAATCCAAGCATCTAAATCAACTTACGGTACAGTTTGGGTATATTATGTTCCTTTTTCAGTACATGAATCACTGTGTTATGTCTAAATCTTCCTGCAGGATGAACAGGGATACCTCCAGGCTTATCAATGACAAGCAAGTCGTCCCCTTCATGAACAATCTTTATAGGTTCATCTGTACACGGAGGCTCATGACGATGAATTTTGTGTCCAATAACGTCTGATGTCTTTATCAACGTATCTGCTGTCACTGGTTTGTCATTGATAGTAAGAAGCCCTCTCTCTATAGCATATCTCTACATGCCGGCCTTTGGTTAGATCTTTCGAAGCTGTGTGTCTTTGAAACTTACATAATATTCTTCGTTGCGATCTCTAAATTCGGATGCAAATACTTCCAAAAGAGGTCGATTGAGCCATCGTCCTTTGGCAAATGACTTGTATTCAAAATAATAAGGCTTTACTTTACGAAGATCTACGCATATAGTTAGACATACAACTCCTATATTGTCATTTATGCTATTACCATCTTCAAAATAATAAACAGCTGTGTGAATGTCGTCCACATTTCTAAAATCATCTTCTTTTCTATTGCAACTTCTCGATTTCTTTCCTTCAGCAAGCTCTCTTCTTTTGATCTCTTGATAGATCGGATTCTCAGCGGCAAGCTTACGCTTCTTTGCTGTCTTTTCCTTATTCAGTTGTCTCTTTCTTTCTATATCAGCAGGTGTCTCCTCTACCATTTTCTGAAATAAAGTGAGCATGTATAAAGCATTAGCCGATAGTAGAATATGTACCTCCTTGTTCATAGTTACAGCATCGTCAGCTACAGTCATTTCAGGATAAAAATAAAACTTTAAATGTTCGAAGGTTCAAAAAAGGAAATGGATAAGAATGATTGGATAAATTCAGCATTAACAGTAAAAGCCACTTTGAAAGGATAAAGTCCTGTATGATCGTTACCGTCTTCAAAAAAGTGCACAAGCTAATGTTAGATAAGGCATATAAGAAAAAGAGCGCCATTGAGTTAATTTACCTGTAGATATCTTTAATCTCGCTTATTGATACAAGAGAGAGCCGCTTCCTCTACGATGATTGTCTTTTTAAAAATCGAGGGTCGACCTTGACCATCTCAAGTTGAGCGTGCGATATTAGCCATGTTTTTGCTAGCATTGATGTCCCTATCCCACAGTATATGGTAGGTTTTGCAATCTAATATACCATGGGATAGGGTTCCATTGGGCAGTTTGATTGGTTCAAGGCTTTCTGTACTGCAGCAACTACAAACCTAATTCATTTACTGAATTATTTCGCTTCATTTCTACAGACTTAGTTCGCTTAAACGTGAATACAATATTTTGTACAATATATCTCCAAATTGTAGGAACGCTCACGGATAGATTGAATTGTTCTTCAAATTTTTCCTTAGTGCACCCCAAAGTTAAAGTACAATCTCCGTCAAGAAACTCCAATATAAACTGGCTGTGCTATTCTTTGACTTTAATGAAATTTGATACGTAGATCCAGTCTTTTTCTTCTGAATTCTTCTTTCAATCTCGTATACGGATATAATATCGTTTACAGTCGAATAGGGAAGATCAAAACTCTTGCTTATTTCAGCTTTAGAACAATTCATTGGTTCATATTTTTCCACGATAAGCTCACGTAGCCCAGAGGTAGTCTTCTGGTAATGCTTTCCTGATTTTGTTACATGTTTTGTAGATGGAACTTTAGGCATGTTACTTACTGTAGATGCTTAATATAGAATAACAGAAGAAGAGAAAAAAAGAGTAAAACAGACCTCAATCAGTAACAGGAGGACTGTTAACGTCAGAATCACTTGGAGAGCGTTCCATATGTCTTTTCTTAAGCACATTGATTTCATGATCTTTGGCAGATTTATTTATTTTTCGGTATATTCTAGAAACTGCTAAACAGCCTCTCTTCATTTCCATAAGTCGCTTCGCTAAATACCGAAGACGGTAAATATTGTCTTGGCAAGTCGGTAAACCTAAAGAACCCAAAACAGAAAGAGCATACAAATCATTTTTTACAAGGTGTGTTTCTATCATTTCACCTTCTACACCAGCTAACTGAATGCCGTGGGCCTTCAGTGGTCGTTTTTCTTTTTCTTTGACATGTGAGGAGTAAAAGTGATCAGCAATAATTTTGGTCTCCCTCGAGAGCCTTGTATGATCACTGAAATACTTCTTATTGTCTGTTTGCTCAATGAAAACTTCACCGTTCAAAACATCAACTAGTTTTTGTGATCTTTGTAGCAAATACGAAAGTCGACCTTATCTCCAATATATTTTTTGGTGTTTTGCTATTTGCACAGCACATCTGCATAGCATTTTCACAAATAGTAACATAAGCAATTCAATTTGCATAGAAAACAGCATATTTATCGTAGTCACCTTATAAGAGCTATATCTTGTAAAAAAAATTACTTAAAGAAAAACAAAAGAAAGCTGACTACAGAATGTATTATTCTTTAGACGTGTTGTGCCCAATTCTCACTGGCCCATGATAAATTCATGCAATAAACTTGTTTTCTTATAAAATGATGCTATTTTTAATGATGAGCTCTCAGCATAGTAAAGAGATTATTACAGACTCATCGGCAAATGCTTCTCTTGTACTTCAGTGTTGTATGTAATGTTATGTGGGTGTAGTTTGTCTAGTACTATTTGCTGTGCAAGTTGAATTGCTTACGTCACTAATTGTGAAAGTGCTGTGCAGAAGTGTAGAACCCAAATTTTCTCGTGCGCGTAGTGTTCACCAAAAAATTGATACAAAAAAACTGAAATTTAGGTTTTAGGGGGAACGCACAGGGTTTTAACCTAAAATTGGACGATTAGAAATACACTATTTTGTATAATATCCATTCAAAACACATGATATAGTCATTAGAAGAATATGTCTTTACTCTCCAACAATGACTATGTAAGCTATCGTATACTTTTTTTTTTGATAAATTGATAATGTCGTCAGTTTTCACCTCTGATGCAAAAACCACCTGCCAACCAAATTATGGAATCGTGATCCAACAGCAGTGTGTAACTTGAGAAAGATCTTGTTCAGCTTAAGAGAGGCTGATGAACGTCCATGTTGTTTTAGCAAAACACAAACACTACCAAGACCAGGATTCAAACGAAAAGAAGGCAAACTTCAATCCAAAAACTTGTACCTAAAAGATGATCATTTTAACATAAATTCAAGTCTGTAGATGCCCAAATATTACACTAACCACAATTTCAAAAACAAATGGCACATGCCCCCAAAGCTGCTTACATGTTTATAGTTATCAATATGCTTAGTGCATATTACGACATATTTATTACAATTTTATGTCCGTGAGCAAATTGTCAGCAACGATGAGTAGATAGAGATATGCTTCTTCAGCCCCCTCTTCCTTTCTCCCTCAAACAGCTCCTCTGTCATATGACTGTTTCAAGAAGTTTAGGCTAGTCATTCAAATACAATGCTGTATTCTCAATCCCTTGATAAGCTTTCATTTCACAAGATATAAACATTTTAAACTAGTCTAGTAGCCGCAGTAATTTGTTTGATGAAATTGCAGCTTAGATTATTGCAATAGAGATGGATATCACATGACATAACTCTTTGCTCCCTTACCAATACTAACATACCTAGTGTATATGAGCACAGCATTTGCTTGGAGTAACGAGAACAAACGACAGTAATCGGTGTTTCCTATTAAGGTCAATAACAAGGTTTCCTTTTGGTCTAGAAAAGCTAATGATTATACAGTAACAACATATATGCCTTTTCCGGAAACTTTTTGCGTATATTCTGTGTAACACTCTGCGTTAAGTGCAGGTATTGATATGCCTATCACCAGAAATAACTTTGCCCAGCGATCAAAAAGAGCTTAGCACAGCTAAATTTTTATAATTTGCGTACACCGCGATCGGCTCGCAACATCTTTTTTCTGCAATAGTGTTCAAAAGTGCATCGTTCGTCCAAGTAGCTGAAATGGGAGATATGATTGATGATGATGGAGAAGATATCGATTATCTTTTTTATTTTTAGAACGTATAATGTGATCTTGAGGGGTTAAGGATATGCAAAGAATGGAGAAAAGGAACAGAAGCAGAGAAAACAAGGATAATTCACTATTTCCGTTTTTTATATCTGGAATACACCACACGTAAGTTTTCCTTGGTTGCATACTTTTTGATAAAGCCTTGTTTTACGCCTGTGTTGAAGCAATGCCTCCAGTCTATAGACCTGTCATTGTTTTTCTCTATATATGCTTCCACGAATTGCATTGCCGACGTATCCACAGTGCAGGTAGAGCTTGATGGGATATCTGGAGGTTCTTTAATTGGGGTCACACTTTCTTCATGATGGCCCTTCTCGTGCAAAGCCGCTTCGTATTTTCGCTTTAAACGTCCAGAATAGCTAATTCCATCCTTAATATATGGCAAGGATTTTGAAATATCAGGTGGCGTTTTCAAGAGGCAATCCTTGATCTTCGTGTATTGTCGCTCGTGTACTTCCAAAATCACCTGAAGAGTTGCCAGTGACTTTCCGTTGGTATTTTGTTTGCCGTTGTATATACAGTCAAACCTATAGAATTTGGCGTTTTTGAAAAATGAATGGCCAAAGTAAAAAAGTGATTAGCCGAAATAAAAAATACATTTGTCCCTTTAGCCGAAGACAAATGCCACTAAGCACTAATTAAAGTTTGCGCAAAAGCAATCTCTTATTTACGCTTTATATATATATAGATCTTGAGCTCAACTTTATCACCTCTTTCTCTTACGCATAATATAAAAACTTAGCTGCGCCAAGCTCTTTCCGGAAACTTTTTGCGTATACTCTGTGTAACATTTTGCGTTAGGTGCAGACATTAATATGCCTATCATCAACGACCAAAAAAAGTGTATACGATCTTTTCAGAAAGCAAAGTCGCATTTTTGCAATTTTTATAATATAATTTATACGAAAAAGCGACAAGTCAGCGCGACATCTCTTTCTGGAAATAGTGTATCAAGAGATATAAGCATAACAAATCGTGTCACATAGCTTCCTGCTGATGCAAGGTGCAGTCGCATCCTGCTATGACCTCTACTTACATCTCGGTTCACTCACTTCGCTTTTAGTTAGAGCCGTGCCTGTTAGTAAACTGATCAGGCTTTATAGTACTGTACATATCTTCTGTAACAGAAGGCAGTGTTGTGACTTGGTCTTCGGGAAGAAATAAAATCAGCTTTTGAGCGTGTCAAGAAGCACCACATAAATGCCATAAGATTATTTGCACTCTTGAGAGAAATGAAGAATCTATAGAGATTATCTTTGTCTAATTGTAGCTACAACACCATGGGATAACGAGTAATAACAAAGAGCCTTTTCATGCAACAGATAATCAGTCGTCTACAAAACTATATTTGTTCAGGAAATTGCCAACGATCCCTCCTTTGTGGCATAAACTGATACATCGGACTTTTTTTCTTTACTTCTTTTGTAAACTAATAAAAAGTGTCTATGGTAAAGCACTATATTATGATGAAATGGATGTCGTCATAATGGCTACAATTCCTTGGCAATCGTGCATTACAATCTAATAATGAACTCTACAACTTCTCGTACACAAATACCATATTCAGCGTAATAGAAGGATTCAACTCACGCATCTTTGCGATCTTAGTCTATTCAACCTTCATAGGCGCAGAGACAAGTATAAAAAAGTTCGACTCAAAGAAGCAAAGAGTAGTATTGTTTAAAAATAGAACAAGTGAATCTAATTAATATGTCAAGCCCATTTTGGTAACCATGGTTATCTTGTTAGTTGTGTTAAATCTGTAAAAATCTTCAAGTTTCGCCATACCGCTATTCATCTTCAGCTTCAGCGAAAATTTTAGAAGACAAAAAATACTAGAGCATAACTTCTTTATTTGTAAATCAAATAGGATTTGTGTAAGATGCATGCATTTATTTATTTGTATTGAATGAGTACTTGTGTATCGCGTATAATCAAAAGCTCCAAGCATAAACAATGCAGATTAATAAATGATATTCTTGTTATTCTTTTGATCGGACTAAAAGTCCTTAGTTTTGAGAATAGTATAGAAGCTTCTTTTATTATTAAAACGAGGGAATTACCTTATAAAGCAATGTTTGTTGCTCGGATTATACGCCACTAAGTCGCATAAAAAGCTATGCTAGTAGTAATAAAAACAATGTAGCAACGCCACTGATATTGTTTACTTTTATCAAACATGAAACAGGAGAAAAATATATATCCATGACAACAACTTTGCGTCAAAAGGCTGCTCCGATATTCGCTATAGCAACATCAGGAGGCAAGAAAGAGGGAGGTCGACTTACCAAATATATAATATGCATCTCAGTTCAGCTTAAATGGTAGAGCTGATCACGTACGGCCAAAATAATCTATTAAGGAAATAAATGCATTACATGTATCGCGGAAATACTATACAATGGCATGGTTGAGATACACTTAGAATATTATATTGTAAGACAGCCAAGCAGTGTGTCAAGTAACATTAAGAAGTTCTGTAAGACGGCTTAAATTGAGAGGGCCTTTCAGGGCTCAGGCGGATGTTGAAAAAGAGTGTACCAGCATCTATCAGAGTGACAAAAATAGAAATAATTTTGTCTCTCCCTAATGGGCAGCCTTTAATGACTTCCTCGGAACTAATGTAAAAAAGGTATGAAGCAGGGAGGGAAGGTAGCAGCATCAAAAGGAGACTTTTGAGGACACTAGTAGCTAAAAAATGCGCAGTCAATTGAAATTACCTCTCCAGTCAAGCTATTATATTTAGAGTAGTTTAATTAATTGCTCCTAATCATTTTTCATCTGACTCACAGAATCAAATATGTTTGGGGTGGACCCTTACAGAAGTTCCGCCCAAAGTTCTTTTATTGGTGTAATGTCTACTTTATGCTTGCAACACGAAGTTATATATGAAAACAGCTTCACGTTCTCTTTAATAAAAGTCTGCTGTCGACAAATGGTGACATTTGAATTGCAACTTTCAAAGTTGATGTCAAACTCCGTTGCGCCAATATGATGCATTGGTCCAAACCTCAATATTTTTACAAATAAGGTTTGACGTTAACAAACAATTAAGTTACTTAAACAGCTGATGTCGTCATTCTCTTCAATAAATATGTGCCCAAGAGTTGTACTCGCACTTTCAAGTGTGAAGAGACTACCATGAACGCCCTAATATTGCCCCAACACAAATCTCTAGTATATTTCATTATGTTAATAAGGAGACTTTTTTTCGCTGGTTGTGCTACATTTATGCAATGACGACCCTGATAAAAGGAGATTCAGAGTTGTATTGCTACGGTTCCAATAAAGAAAAAACAAGATAATTAATGATAATAATGACCACATCTCTTTGTCTTTTTCTGCCTTAAGACTAGTCCTTTTTTTTCTTTTTCACTAAACTCTCGCATAACTAACTCTTTTAGTTGCATGAATCTCCTGAAATAGTTTAAACCAACTTCTAAATAGGTTCAATAACACTGAGCTGAATTGCTAAATATGTCACTTTTTTTTTTTTTTTTCAAAAAGTCTCGGTTGCTGTACATGGCTATATACCTAAAATGGCATATTGAGAATGGTGTACGGACATCTTCATATAACGATCGGTGGATTATTTCCAATTTTGAACCAAGAGCAAAAGATGAGGTGGTACCGCGTTTAGAATTTGGAACAGGAAAAACTATAAGGTAACCATAGGAACAAAAGAAAGCCTATGAAAATCGATTTATAGTCCCGTGAACGATATTTTTATATATCAGGATGCATCCGCCTACAGCGGCGATGGTCATTAGAACCCATGAACGCGTTCGTATGGGGAGTACAAAACTATGTGTAATCTAAAAAATACGTCAAACGAAATTTTTGATCGATTTTTAAAAGGATTTATTTTATACAAAACTGAATTGCTTATACACATATACAAATAAAGTAATCCTATCATGTCGTATTTACTTGAATCCTGTACTGTAAATATAACATGAAATATTCTTGCGCTTTAAAAACGCGTTATAAGATATAAAGAAAGGGGGATATTAAATAAAGAGTAAAGAGAATGAATAGGTGGGTATAGCAAATCATGGTAGATAGAGTTGATCAATTCCTTGTTCATAATAATTTACTATATAAATAAATAAAATAAATTAGTATATAAATAAATAACATATAAATAAATAATAATAATAATGACTTACATTCATCGGTAGGAATATAATAAGGAGCAAAGAGCATAGGATTGATCATACTGTTGTACGAATCTGACGTTGGCGTTTGAACGTTGGAGAGTAAACGAGTGTTATCATACATGGTCATGGGTGTATTCATATACATCAAGTTGCTGTTATGATTGGAAGGTAAAGGTGATGAAACAAACGATGTCATGTCAAAATAGTTGCTGTTTGTAACATTGGGATAAGCATGATTGATTACTGGCTTTACTTCTTTCTCGGCTTGACTTCTTATTTGTGTGGCTGATTCATTCAAGAGTGATTCGTTCTCTTCCTTTTCTTGTTTTATTATCATTCTTTTCTTTTGTGGTCGGTCATTGTTTTCATCGCTTTCAATAGCCTTCTTTGTTTCCTTTAATGACTTGGGTGTAGGTGGTGGTGAAAGTTGTGCGTCTGCACTCTTTCTCTTGCCACATAGTGTCGTAGCAGATGACATATTGTCTTCAGATGAGATGGTTTCTTTATCTTCATTCTGTTGCTGTTTTTGTTGATGCTTTTTTAGATTGGCAGCAGCCAGTTGCGCCTGCTTTCGTAGCTTTTCATTTTCTTGGCGTAGCCTTTGAATTTCTGACATATAGTTAGATTCTCTTTTTAAGCTTGAAGAAACTGATAAATAGATGTCAATAAAACAAGTATAGCTTGCAAGGTACAAGTGATATTTACCAAACTCGAGGGATTTAGCAACAATCATCGTCTTGCTCGGTCTACGTACAGACTGCAGTGAAGGCAACGCATGGGCAAGCTGCTGAAACTTCATATTGAGATGCTCCCGTCTTTGACGCTCCAGGGCATTATGTGCCGATCGTCTGTCGTTGTGTGCGGAGATGTCACTACTGTAGATGAGATTTTAGTAACCGGTACGTGTAGAACAATAAAAAAAAAAGTACCTTTCATCCAAAGTCAGATTGGGTGACAATGTCATATCTATGAAATGTAAAACAGATTTAATATTCTATATGTATATACACTTCTTTATGACAATACCAAAAAAAGCGTTGTTAGGATTACGTAGAGATTGGCCGTTGGTGGTGATCCTAAACTTTTCGGAAGGCATGTTTATTATTTAAGAGATGATTTATTAGAAAAAGACAAACAAATAAAAGAAAAAGAAAATGGAATTTGTTCTGTCTTTTATATGTTTTCAGTGGGGGGTGTAGGGCGCGACTTTGGGGGGTGCGATGGATTAAGGGGGAAAATGGAAAAGAGAAGGGTGATACGATGTAACCATTGGCAAATATTAATGATCAACAATGGTTACTATGCAACAAAGGGTGTTTATACATATCCCAAAGCTTAAAATTAAACTAATAATAATATTTCTCGTTTCCATATCGATAATATTCGCCCGAACCTGCCGCCTCATCTATTTAAAAAAAAATTACGTTTCCTTTTTGAGAAGACCTTCCAGCGTCAAAAATAGCCCCGGAGTAAACCCCATTCTAATTTTACTGCGACGCCACATGAAGCAAATACATTTAAGAACGTCTAGAACGCACATACACTGCATAGTAACATGCAGTTATGTAATATGTTTTTTATATTTCTATTTAAACCGCATAATACATTAGTATAACGTAGGTATGACTTCAAACACATTACGATCGATCTTTTGAAAAGGAACAATGGAGTATTTGTAAGAATAGTTAGGACTTGTACAACCCATACTGATAATAATAAAGTGAGAAGAAAGACCGCTTCCTGTTGATACCATGTAATCGTATTTATACTACTTTACGTTTGTAGGATAAAACGTATATGCTCGGCTTTATGTTATCATGAGACATCCAAAAGGAGGGGGTCGGGGCAGTGAGAATATATATGCAAAAAAAAAAGGAGTCTTGGGGTGCAAGGGGTTGTGCAAGTTAAAGATTTTCTTTGGTCTTTTGGTCTTTATTTATTTCTCTTTACTCGTTATGTGCCTTTACCTGCATTGCATTTCATTTTGGTAAATAGCATCTACTTTGTTATCTAGTAGTCTGGTTCATACAAGAAAAAGGGGAAATAACCTGTATGCATACCTTATTTCTTCATTTGGTGAATGTCCAAGTTGCTGGATTACTTTATTCATATAGTAAGGGACACTATTTGGCTGATATCCCTGATTGCTTAAATCGAAGTGCTCTTTTTTTTTCCTTTTTTGAAGTCTCTAAATATCTTGAAAGATCCAGTTTTTCTCCTTCGAATATCTCATTTTCACGTTTATGCAACTCCTAAAGTAAATAGGCTGCAAGAAAAGATTAGAAAAGAAAAAGACTTTTTTAAACGCAGTTGATGATTACACTTCATATGGATATACATTTAAGCTGATTATAAACATTAAAGAGTTATATTCTTTCATTTGTTTTGATTAATATAAAAAAGTGAATGGCCCCTGGTAAAAAAATGAGTCATCACTTTGTCCTTGTGTATCAAAACGTATACAGTTAAATCGCTGATAAAGAAAAAGAAAATCTTGGAGACTAGCCTTTTTTTTTCTGGAGAAAAAATTTTTTATTTGTTTCTCCTTTTAAAGTCAATCCAACTCGATTATGCGCTTCTAACTTGAGAATAGACAAGATCAGATGAACAACTATGCGCGTTTTCGTGCACGTTCGTATGCAATTCATGCAGGTTGTATCTGCATAATCTCAAAGGGCGTCATGATACGCGTATTCTACAAGTTAAAAAAAATAGTAAAGGAAACAGACAGATAATTAGACAGCGATCAAGATCCTTTTTATGGCTATATTAATTTTTTCTTTTTCTCTTCTGGATGTCATTATCTGCACCAGGCATATATGTAGTGTAACATAGCAACGCAAAGGGAAAAAAGGAGGGAACACGTTGCTATGGTTTCAGAACTACATATTTCATTATTCTTTTGATCTTTTTTAAACAGCACTCGAAAATTTCTATAAATGTGGTTCCTCAATGTCAAGCCTTACCATTATAAAATGTTACCTTTTCATTTAATGACAGATGAGCGAGTTACACTTGTATCACCCATGCATTTACTTGCCTGTAACACCTTTCATTTATAATTTATTCTAGAAATACCCTTGATTTGATTTAGTCAAAGGGGAAGGCTCAAAGACTTGCTAAGCGCGCGCCGAGATGGGGGGCTTTTAACCCAAAAAACTTGTTCACCCCTGATTTATATTTATATATATATATATGCATCTTCATAGGTCCATCTCCAGCGTGATATATCACAAACAATTTCCTTTTAAAGTTAAAAATTGAAGGTGCGCGGACGTAGTCGCTCTTTTTTTTTTATTCATTTGCAAAACCACCAAATCCAAGGTCAATACCAAGCATTTCTCGTTCCCAAAATCGGAGCATGTACTGATCCACATGCCCCACATTCAATTCTACATCTTCGTCCATCGTTGGGTCTTCTGTTTGGCTGGCTTGTGAAACAGTTTGAGAGGGCGCTTGAGAAGGTGCTTCGCTCGACTGGCGTGTGACAGCTGAAGGTGTATCATTAAAGTCATTGTCATCCATATTCATCTCTTTACGTGCGACCATTGCAGCCTGTGCATCCGTTTCATCGCCTTCGGCCTCAAGTAAGGCTTGCTCATAATCCACGGGGGTATAAACGGATCTTTCGCTTGCTCCAACCACTTCTGGAAGTTCTCGCCACCAATCTGTTTTATTAAAGAAGTCAGCTGTAAAGTCGCCTTCTTGAATAACCACATTATCTAGCATTCTACACATGAATTGTTAGCTTCCTGTTGATCATCTATTGCTTTACTAACCTTTTTTGGTTCGCCTTTTTGAATATATTTTCTTCAATGGTGTATTCTGTTACAAATCGATAAATGTGTACATCCCTCGTTTGTCCAATACGATGTGCTCTGTCTTGGCATTGTTTATCCTATTTAAAAAAAGAAGTTGATGCAACATGAAACCAAAGAACCCACGAGGGTACTTACCATTGAGGGGTTCCAGTCTAGATCATAGAAAATGACTGTATCGGCGCCTGTCAGGTTGATGCCTAAGCCTCCACTTCGCGTAGATAAAATAAAACATAAAATACGCTTATCACTATTAAAGTGCTCAGTCAGGATTTGCCGTTGTTCAACCTTGGTGGCACCATCGAGACGTAGATATCGGTAACCATGAATGTTCAAAAACGTTTCAAGGATATCAAGCACTCGAGTCATTTGTGTAAAAATCAATGCTCTATGCCCACCAGCTGCTAGCTCCCTCAGTAACTTATCAAGCTTTTGTAGCTTGCCACAGTCGTATTGAATTAGCCATTTGTCAGGGAATGCTATCGAAAGCCTTGACCGGATAGGATGAAAGATGTCATTGTCTATACTGTTGGCTTGTTGTAGCTGTAGTTGCCCTTCATAGGGTAGAATACGTTCCTTGGGCCAGACAACAGCCTTGGGTGTAACACATCCATACTGCTCCAGGATATCTAAATTACTATATATGCGCCCCTTGTACCCTTGTACCATTTCACGAATTGCATCACATTGGCTCATGTATATCCGAGCACTTGACGAAAATAGTCGATCGCGATAGCTGCTCGTCATGCTTCTCAAGAGCGCTACTAAATCAGAGCCAAATAAAGGCTTTCGTGCGCAGCGCATGCTATTGACGTATTGAATTGACTCCCACCGCTTCATGCATTGAATCTGCATTTGCATCTCTCGATATTTTGCATACTTTTTCAGGTCGTGGTAATCTTTGGACACAATTCCCCGAGCCTCCGCGGCGGCAATGTGACGTTGCCGATTGGCAATCACTTTGCTGATGGCTTCAGTAGCGGCTAATCTGATAATTTCATTTGCCACCATTTGGCTCATTTGGTTCATATGGGGGTGCTGCAGAATCAGGTTCAAAAAATCAAAGTTCACTCCTTCCATCGGCTGAACCACATTAAATCTACGACGGATCAACGATTCCAAATAGGAGCCTTCCGTTTGTACCTCATCGTCCATCGCAAAGCTCGTCAGGATCGGGCGTTCTTCAAATAGATCCGGATGATTGCACACTTTACGCAGTTGCATGAGGCAGTTGATAATGTTTAAGAAATTGCCACTAGCCAAGGTTTCTTTTGTCTTGGCTCGACTCATGAAATCGTCATAAAGAAAGCGCTGTCGTTTGGATAGTTTGCAGTACACCACATGCTCGTGTTTTTCAGGCATCTGCTTTTCAACATCGGCTTTCACTCTTCTCAGCAGGTAAGGCCTTAATACCGTATGAAGCTTTTGTATGGCCGCTCGTGACTCCTCGTCCATGCCTTGTTGACCTTCAATCATGCGGTCAACAGGGTGTGAGAACCATTCTTGAAACTCTTTTAAATTGGCAAATCCGATCGGCATGTCTTGTGAGACGCCATTCGGCATCAGAAAGTAGAGCAGTGACCAAAGCTCCATCAGATTGTTTTGAAGAGGCGTGCCTGTCAACAGTAGACGTCGATTGGCGTTAAAGTTTAAAAGAACTTGCCATCGTTGAGATCTAAAGTTTTTAATGTTGTGTGCTTCGTCCAAGACGAGGTATTGCCATGCTCTTCGTCGAAACACGTTTTGATCCTGAAGGACAAGTTGGTAAGAAGTGATGCAAACATGAAACGCGTTGGGCTTGTACCATCCAGACCGCTTTTCTTTACGCTCTTTGGGTGATCCATAGTAAGTGAGAACCTTGAATCCTGGTAACCATTTTTTGAATTCCATTTCCCAATTCAGAATAACACTTGTTGGCACAACGATCAAGTGAGGGCCCCATACACGTTTCTCGCACGCCAAGTAAGCAAGTAAAGCAATCGTTTGAATTGTTTTTCCTAAGCCCATTTCATCAGCAAGAATGCCATTCAAACCATTGTTGTATAGACTGGCGAGCCAATCAAGGCCCACATGTTGGTATTCACGTAGTGTACCACGCAAAAGAAAAGGTATCTTGGTACGTACTTTGGTTGTCGAAAGTGTATTGCCAGTAGGCTGTATTTTCCTTGAAGAACGGCGAGTGCGTGTGGAAGACGTATCAGATGGTGAAGGAGAAGCGGGAGATAACGTGGTATCTTTTGTCTCCCTTGACTGTTCTCCAGCAAATTCTGTGTCCATCAAAGCGCTCAGGGGTATCTCTTTTTCGTCATTCAGTTGTATTACGTTATCTTGTGTTGAATAATTGTATTTTTGCAATAGTTGGTCTATAGGTAAATCAGCATCCTCGTTCAGCGCGTTGATTTCAGCATCATCATCCTCACTTTCTCCGTCATTTTCTAGTGGTATGTCCTCTTCTTGATCGGATCCAGGCGTGAATTCAGCATGCTCATCTGTTGATTCTGTATAATTATACTTTTTTATCAACTCTTCAACGGACAGCTGGGCGTCTTCATTCAGATCATTGATCTCCTCATCATCATCATTACTCATACCATCTTCTTCTATGGGCACATCATCCTCTTCTTGTGTCTGTGTAAACTCTCCGTCTGAATGCTCTTGATATTTCTTTACTAAATCCTCCACGGACATACTTTGATCGTTCTCAAGTTCGTGTAGCTCATCTTCGTCTGATTCTTCGTCATTTTGCTCAATAACGTGATCACTCAGGTTCTCTTCATCTGTATAAACATATTCCTCATCCAATCCTTCCAGTTGTTTATCAAGCTCTTCTCTCCGCATACCCAACACATGATGTGAATGTTCCAAGATGAGTTCAAGATGTCGTCTGCCTTCTTTTGCTTGAGCCTCCTTGGATAACTCTTTTTGCCTTGCTTCACAGACCTTTTCAACAATCTTCCACTTCTTTTTCACTTCTTGTGCCACCACTTTAGCCAACCGTATCAACCGTTTCGTTTCCTCTTTCTTTGCACGTTCATCTTGCGCCCAAATATTTTCCCAATACCGCTCAACAGCTCTTGCGCACTTTCGTGCCATGTTTCTCCTGTATTTACTATTGGCCGCAAATAATTTGGCTGAAGACTGTACATGTGCTAACAACGTATCGTGAAAGAGATCGTGCTGTCTTGGGGGCTGATGCGGCCGTCGGTGAGCAATAGCTTGTAGTTGTGTGGTGAATCCGCCGGCCTGGTATAACTGATCCAAGCGCTGACAGATACTACGCTCCTTTTCGATAAGCGCTTCACGAGCCTCAGGCGTCATCTCTTCATCATCCATAGCAGTAACAAAGGTGGAAAGATAGTCGCTCAACTTTTTGTATTGCTTTATCAGTCGTCGTGTACCCGTACCCGAACGAATGGCCTGGTAATTGGAGCTTGCTGCTGCCGTTGTTGCCTGCTTTGTACTGTTAAAGACACTTTCGAGTAACTGGACTGTGTTCTTGTGCTGTGATGTGTTGTAAGCAATATCCCATAAATTAAAGTCTTGTATGAACTATGATATACAGTATTAAGCATAAGCAAAAAAAAAAAAGCAAGTTACTTACCTTTTGATAAATAAGATCATTGACAAGATTCTTTTTGGGATCAAAATCAAGCATGTTTTGATACATTTCAAGATGATACAATTCCTTGACTTTACGCTCGTGTTGATCTAGTATCTTTTCTAGCTCATGTTGTCTTTGCAAAATAGCTTCATTTCTCGTTTTATCCAGCTCTGTTGTTGGTTTCGGCATCAGTTTATCTCGAGCATTCTTGATCAACACACGCGAATCTAGTCTTTTGCGTTTATTTGGGATTTCCTCTGTAGACGCTGTTCTCTTTCGTGTCCGTCGACTGCCTTCGATGATGTTGTGTTTACTCAAATCACCGTCTGTGTCAAACAATGAAGTGACTGATCTATTCTTTAATTTTTCTTCTAGTTTCTGTGCACGTTTGGATACTCTCCTTTTCCTTTCTTCAGCCAAAGCATCTAAATATATACACATGTAAAGGGCCAGGAAGGAAGAATGTATGATATAATAAAGTACCTTTATTTGACATTGTCTTTTTTTTTTGTATCAAGAAAAAAAAAAAAAAAAAAAAAAAAAAAAAGGTAAAAAAAGCAGAAATATAATTTTTCTCTGTTTTATTTTTATTAAACACAAAGATTCTCAAGCTTCTTGATTTGTTGCATCATCGTCAAGATTAGTGAAATTAAGCCAGTCTGATTCCAGTGGAGATGAAGGCACATTGGATGACGATAATAGCTCAGAAGTGGGATAACCATCCATGAGACCGTTATCAGATAGTAATAAAGAAGGAATATCCGTTGTTGAATTATACCAATCTGTCGAATTAAAGTCTGATCCCCACAGACCTGCAGTTTGTTCGTCCATGAAGGCATTAAATGAGTCTTCTGAAAACAGGTTGGAGAAATCAAACGAGTCATCCTCTTCTGTCTTATTATCTTCGGCTGGCAGACATCGAGGACAAACAAAGGTTGTTTCTTCTGTTGGTTGTACGCATTTGATATGAAGCCAGGTATGACACTGTGTGCATTCGATCATGGTACCTTCTGTGACATTATGTGAGCAAACACACTGAATGATCACCTTGACTTCCAACTTGCGGTGTTTGCATCGTTCCAAGTGATAGACAAGGCCATTACGAGTCTTGTAGTGTTTGTTACACGGCTCACAGCTATACTGACGTGTACGAGCGTGCTGCCTTTTGATATTCGGCAGTGGAGGCTTTCGAGGTGAAGCGTGAGGTGAGGGCAGTGGCTCAAGAGGATTGATACGGCGGCTTAGCAATTTTAATTCCTGAGAAGACAATGGTGGCTCATCGTCTGTTGTCTTTGCAATCGAACCGATCGTTTTACCACCCATGGTTGGCCTTGACTTTGTAGACTCTACTCGCTCATGATGCTCGTCTGTAGTAAACGTCTGTGAAACAAGTTTTTTCATGGAACTTGGTGTCTTTGTGCTGTTTTCATGAAATATGTGTCGATAGTTTTCTTTTTGTGCTCGTTTGTTTGCATAGTCTAGTGATGGCGATGGTTGAATGCTCTTGTAGCTACGTTTAGACCCTATGCGTTCTGATGATGAGCAAGACTGTGATGAGCTAATGATATTATCAAGTGAGGAAAGTAGACTACTGAACTACAAGTTAATCTCTTTTGGTTTTATTGAAAGAAAGCTCTTGTTTTACTTGTTATTATTTTGTGAATGAGTTACTTTCATGTTGCTATTATTATGTTTGTATGAAAAAAAAAAAAGGGAAAAAGAGAAGGAAAACTAGGGCTTTTTTTTTTCTCTTTATATCTCGTCACAATTGAAGCTCTCACTAACTTATCTGTCTGTATGTTGGTGTGCCTATCGATAAGAGAGAAAGATATACAAAACAGAAAAAGAACCTTTTCTCACTCTTCTTCTCTTTTCCTCCCCTTTATTTCAATACCATGGAGTGATCTATTTATATTACTTTGTTATTTTGATGTCATGGGAGATAGGACAATTCACTGAATCACATCGAATCATTGACGTTCTTTTTGTCATAGTTACAAAAAAGTACAAATATATTATTATATACATATACAATTAAAAAAAAAAAACATAAAGCAGCATATATGCATAAAGAAGAAGAAGGGCATAGAGATTAAAAAGTAAAAAAGAGCTGAGGATTATAGACAATGCCATCCTTACGTACCAAGAGAATAGGTATTATGTATTTACCTATACTGGTATCTAATTGAACAGCCGTGCTTTCTTTCAATTCATTCATATCAGGCACTGTACAAGATAAGACCTGCTTTGATTTCAATTCAGTGTTGACAGCGACATCACCAAGCCAAACAGTGATTTCATCAGAGAACTTGTCTCCAGTAAGAGTCAGAATGCCTTGATCATACTGAGTTGAATGAACCATAGGGAAAGGAGTGATCGGAGAGGCAGTGTCTGAAGAAAAAGGCGAATTCAAAAGGAGATGTTCTGGAGGTGTCCAAAAAGAGTAAGTAACAGAGTCTGTACCAACAATGGTCCAAACAGAGGCATCCGATACGTCTTCAGTCCAACAATCCCCATTCAATGGGTAGTAGCTGTCTGTACCGTCATCGCTCAAGCGGCGGCCAGCGCCATGCCTTGAGAGCAGCAGACCGTCGTTAAGTGAATTCACCCGACGGCGATTCAGACTCGGCTTGGTAGGGAATGGCGTATGCTGATAGGACAAGCGGCGTTTGCGACCCGGTTTTGTTTCATATGCATGGCGGGTTGGGTCGAGTGGGCTGACAATCGATCGTCCGCTGACTGCTTTATGCATACCAACCACTTCGTTCAAGCAAGCAAGATAAGTGGTGTTTGGACTTGTCTCAGGTAAGGACCACTCTGTCATTGGAGGAATGTAAGCCGAAGGTGGGCACTTGGTTCGATGATATTGCGCAGCAGAAAGATCCTGCACGATTTGAAATGCGACTTTATGTAATTGAGAGACAGGATCACCCAATGCTTCATCACCATATTCACCACCAGTGGGACAAGATAGGTCGTCTACACGATTTCCGCCCATCACCATGCTAGCCTTGTCAACACGGCGAATGATCATGACGGGACTAACGAGACCGGTTGTGACACATTGCAAGACGATAGGCTGATTATAATGAAGCGCAATTGGTGATTGGCCAGCTGAAGTTTGAATGGCGATAGCAGGAGGTGCAGGATAATGCGGATTATCAGGATGATGCTTGGGTACCGGTGCATCGGATGAGCGATGAAAGTCGACAATCCAGATCAGAAAGGGGTCCCAAGAGGATGTTCGAGTGACGAAACAGGTACCAGAGTCTGGTAGAGAGGATACACCCAAATATTTCGTTGAGACCGTTTGAGATCGAACACGATTGAAAAGCGCCACAGTGGATCCATGATGAATGCAGAGATCCATATTTTTTAAACTCTGTCGTTTCTTGGATGGTTTACTGATCACTTTGATGTTCTTTGAATCAAATGTGCCTAAAGACACTCCATGTCCCAGGTTGATCTTGACGTGGGCTTGTACATGTTTTCTTTTTTCATCAGCATCATTTATGTGCAACTGTTTGGATACACAGCTTCCTTTTAGAGCATGACCATGTCTTGCAGCGGAAATAGCAGAAGATGGATCAAGTAAAGAGTTGTCTTGGTACCAATCAATCGTTGCTTGATGAACGGGTTGTTCACCTGTGATCTGAACGGTGATCTCTGGAGAATATTGATTTAATGGAAACCAAGAATCAGCGCCGGACAGAATGGTTGAAGGAGGAGGGCATAAAAATCTGCATATGTGTGGTTAGCTTAGGAAGATGATTAAAAAAATAATAAATACCTTTTCTCTGTTCCGTAGCTCTTTTGAGCCACTTTACTTGTCAAGATGGTTATTTTTCTTTCTCCTTGATTTGAGTGTAAATAATGACGAATGAAAGGTCTTAGACGTATAATAAGGTCATCTTCAGGCGTGGTATGGACATTATGATTGCTATAGTTACTAATTGGAGAAGAGATTGAAGTATTTGAAGGTGAATGATGAGTGATGATAGAAGGATGAATGGTCATCAAATAATCTTGTTCTTGTTTTAATGCGTCTAGGAAGCTTGGTGAAAAAAGGTCGGGTGTCGTAACATGATTCAAACTTGAGGTAGTTGAAGAAGGGTCATAAAAGAAATTATTGAGTAATTCAGGATAATTCATGATGAATATAAAAAAGGGAAAAAGGAAAAGAAAGTTAAGAGAAAAAAGAAGGACTATTTATAATAAATCAGTGTCACCTTTTCTTTGAACCCCACATCCATCAAACGAATCACCAAGTCTAATTTGCCTTGTGTCCTTGTGATCAAAAACACATGATCACCTTAAGCTGCCTTTATTTTATTTTTAAATGACGACATTCCAAGTACTTGGTAATTGACTGGGTTGTAGATCTACTTTTTAAATGCATAAACAAATTTCTATTGGATCGTTTAAAGTTTAGTCTTGTTTCATTGAAACTTTTTTTTGCTGTTGTATTGTGGCGTAGTTTAACCTTTTTTTTTTTCTTTAATATGGAATTAGACTATTGTCAATATATTTTACAGGCACTTGGCTCATTTGATTATACTGCAGCTAATAAACTAGTTTATAAGCTCATGAAAGCAAGTGTTGACTTTTTTTTGTCTTTTTCTTTTGTATTGACTTTTAGTAGATATATCAACCAATTGGAACCATCTTTACTCGTCTATGTCACTGTGAAAGTACGTTTAGTTCACTTCAGTTTTTACGTTCAAGATGGTTTGTGATGAGAAAGGAAACTGTAAGGAAATAAAAACAAGATGAGAAAAGTGACATCTCACCATCATAGTCACTTGAAATCATTTATCATAATCTAGCACTCGAACTATCCAAAGAAATATCCTACTTGGAATCAAACAATACACTTTCAATAGACTCAAAAGAGGGCATAAAACGAATATTAGAAGCACTTGTTCATTTATGCAATACGAGAAAAGAAATGATCAACGTGTAAAATGATATATTCTTTATAGAATATTTGACTAACATGCTTTCAAGTTATCAAGCTATCTTGGCACAATCAACAAAGGGTGAATTTGACAACATTCTCACAGAACTAGAGCAAATAGAAAAGACCATGTTTGATCTAGAAAGAGATTTATGCATATTGGGATTGGGTGTCAAAAAGGAAATTAATGTTCTATTGATGCTGTTGAAAGCAAGAACGTCTATAACCAACTATGCGTTTCAAGACACTTGTATTTCCCTTTATTCAAGCAAACAATGTTTATCAGAATGGAAACAATTATGTAAAGAACAGACTTACCCAGAGGTAAAGCCTTGTTGATAGACCAACTAGTGTCTAATGCATCAAAAAAAAAGTCATCTCAGAGACAGGATGAAACAAAAGAACTATCCACTTGGAGATTCTCCTTGTTCAAAAATGATACCAAATTGACCAAACAAGGAAAAGTATGGCCAAATACCATACATTGGTATACAAGAGTCTTGGAGAATTTGACAGCAAAGATGACTTTATTTTTTCATCAAATCTTATTGGAGAAAGAGACAGTCATTCATGAGGAAGATCCAGAAAGATCTTTATGGAAAGGTATCACGATTGATTATTTTGACCAGTAAGAAAAGAGGAAAACAAAGGGGCGGTCATTATTTGTTTGTTTACTTTTTTTTCATGCAGAATAGCTACTTTTAGAAAAAGGTTCGGAGCTCATAGTATTAGTCTCGTCTATCAAGTGACTCCAGAGACTCCTTTTCATCCTCAAGGTTACATCTATCCTGGAAAGACATATGAAGCACCTCAAGGTATTCATTCCTTTCCATTCATTTTTTGTCATCCAAAGGCAAGTAGCATGATTCATACAAGAAAGTATCAAAACCCTGATATTATCTATAGAGTCCACCTACTAAGCATTTACCTGGTATCATTTCCATCATTCAAGGAAGTAGAGTAAGATTGGATGATCCAAAGGCAGGTCCTATTTATTTTTTTGATAATGTAATCGGAAGTACCTACTATCTTATGCGAATTGATCGTCATGCTGTGTTTGTCATTGTTTACCTTGACAAGCACGTCAATCGAGAACCAACTACGGTTGAATTTATTACCAATATTGTTACCTCTTTAAGAGGCACGACAGTCATAGAAGATCTTACAGCCCAATAAAAAAGATTTCATACTGAACAAACTTGCCAGGCGGTAAGAGCACTAGATAATATGTGTAATGAAAGATTTTTATTTCTTTTAATATAGCACTGACTTTTGCTTAAAGTGTTTGACGTTTGAACATGAAAAGAATACAGCTGTCATTAATAATTAAACGCCTAATAAATGTATATTGTTCCTAACACAACCCTTATTGACTCAACTTTGACTTCTAATGCGGCGCATGCTCTATGTTTTCTTTTCCTTTAAATGTATAATGTTATTTTTTTTTTTTGACCAACACCACACGGACCAGAAAATAGGCTAATGCTATGGGCGCTTCCTTAGGGTACTACATGTAGAGTCACTATACACTTCACACAACCAAAATGCCTGCCTAACCTAAGGCTGTCCAGTTCACTCTCTCTAATATAAAATACGAATTTATCACAATTACACACGTGAGTGATCTTACATCTTTGTTGATAGCACCTGACGACATTTAATTAGAATAAATAATAGCATTCCTCTTTTTTTATCTCTTTCTTCTTTAAAAGAACACAAAATGAGGACTTTATAAAAGTCATGTTTAGCTCTACGCTACACATTGAAAGTCTTTGTTAGACTTCATCATAAGTAATAGTAGGGGTAGTGCTCGTAGAATTAGTCTAACTTTTGGTGCATGTAGCGTTTCCCTTATTCCGAAGCAGACATCTCATTTAGAGTGTGGTCATTCTTGTACAACTTGCTCAATGATAAGTGCATAATAGCAAAACTTGGTGAAAAAAGCAGCGTCTCAGTTTCTCTTGCAAAAAATACCGGTAGAAACTTGGATTTAGAAGAAAGAAAGGCCAGAAAAGCTATTGGCTCCAAGGTGGATATGCTTTTCAAATATGAATATGATGAACTCAGCTCTTGTAAGATCGGAAGAGATCAAGTGACAGAAGTCGACGACAAATACCTTGGACGATGGCCGTATCAAGCTTCCCAAAATACTAAGAGATATGCCTGCAAGTTTAGCCAAGAAAAACCCAAGCCAAGTCAATTCGATTGCAACAGTTGGGTATTAATAATGGGTAAGCATCCACTGTGAAATAGTGTATTCAGAGGGAGAATAAACTGGTGACTAATATATACTCTAGGAATTGGCATGGAGCTTGTATTGATAGATGTTCCTGTTGGCAATTTAATATGTAGAGTATCAAAAACAGACAGATACGAATTCCCTCAGTCTGTGGATACTTTTGCACTTGATTTTATTCCTTTGCTACAAGTTGTATAATTCTTGTATTTTCAAACGCGAGATACTGTATAAGAGTAGATTAAATAATAATAAAAGGCTTTAATAAGTTAGAATGTTAATAGCTTAAAAAAAAAAGAGAGTTAGCTTCAAAGATTCATATAAAAAGGTGAACTTACAAAGGAACAAATGGTATCCATAGAATGCATAATTCTACTATCTTCAATGACAAATGAAAATCGAATCTTTCTTGTTCTATCAATAATAAATACGGCTCTATGCGTAAATCCAGTGGATGGGTGAATTGTATTAAAATGTCGAGACACGGAGCGAGTGGTATCTGCCACTATGTACAATGTGTCAACATCAATCAACATATCTTTATTCATATTTACCTAGAGGAAAGGAAGGTGTAAAGCCAAGTTCTGAATGAATATAAGCTGAATGCACCATTTCTGTATCTGCAGATATGGCTAATGGAATTGTATTTAATGATTCAAATCTTGCAACATGATGACTGATGATACAATAATTAGACAAGCTTTTAATACGAATCCAAAAGACTCACTTTATAGACATTAAATCTTTGCTTGCACTCGGAGTACTTTAAGTAATATCAGCATTCCCTTCCTTAACTCATTCTTTCTTCTTCAACTTACAAGTCTCCCTCATAAAAGAAGAGGGCCACAGCTTTATATTGACCAAGCAGGGTGGATAACTGAATTCGGCTGATTTGATTATTATAAATGGATGCGCAATTAAAATCTGGTGCAACCATGCATTCACCAAAAAATCGCTGTACTGGATTTATTATCGTATTGTCATGCTCATCATTCTCACATAGCCTTCTTCTTTTACTAATCAAAACATCTTCTCCTTGCTCCTCTGTCAATAAAGTCACCATGTTTATATGAAAAAAGAGAAAAAGAAAAATAAAATTTTTAATCAGGTTGTTGTTTATTTTAAACTCAGATATTTTACCCCCTTACTTGATCGACAATTCAATGGTCTCATCCCTTTAAAAGACGCCAAAGAGATGATGTCTGTTAGTTTAGTTATAAAGTTTAACTTTTCATCACATGAGACAGAAAAGAAGGAAGTATCTATTGCGTGCGGTTGGTGAGATGCCATACAAACATGGTGCGGTTGTCATGACAACGAGCTTAATGTCTGCGTTTTAATTATTACAAACATAAAGCCACTGAGGTTACAGCCTACGTGTGACCGAATTTCTTCTAACAGTGCAAGTGGCGTAAACTTCACTTCTTCTTTACTGCTTTTTTCTCTCTTTTTATCATTAAAGCAAAAATATGGTCTTACAAGTTACAACAGCTAATAATATCAAAGTATATACTGTCTCTGGAGGACTTGGCTCCAGAGCTATTCCCGATTGGCTTGCTCGTCAAAAGAAAAAGCAATTAAAAAGAGATTTTGGTAAGTTTTTTTATTTTATTGATTATCGACTAGATCTAATTCCTATATAGATTATCGAACAAGAGTTGAACTTATACAAGACTTTGAATTCCCAGAAGCATCTAATCGTATAAAAACAACCCGAGATGGAAAGTTTGTTGTAGCAACAGGCACATATAAACCACAAATGAGAGTATTTGAATATGCAGACATGTCCATGAAATTCGAACGTCATACAGATGCTGAAACTCTTAATTTTGAGGTAAACTAAAATAGATGATGTATATTATGCATGTAGCTCATTTGGAAGCTAGATCTTGTCTGAGGATTGGACAAAGCAAGCACTTTTACAAAACGATCGATCGATCGAACTTCATGCTCAAGGTGGCATTCATTACCGTACAAGAATACCAAAGTTTGGTCGTGATCTTGCATACCATTTTCCTTCATGCGATCTTTTACTCAGTGCTTCAGGAAACGAAGTATACAGATTAAATTTGGATCAAGGACGTTTCTTAAACTCAATTACGACTGATGCCGAAGAAGGTGTCAACTGCGTCGAGATTAACCCTGCTCATCAGCTTTTCGGTTTTGGTACAGCAAGAGGAACAGTCGAGTTATGGGACCCACGATCAAAATCGCGTGTTGGTTTATTATCTAATCTCGAAGTTCCTGAATCATACGGAAGAGACGATAGTTCACCATTAGAAGTGTCAGCGTTAAAGTTTAGAAATGATGGATTGACCATGGCTGTGGGTACAACAACAGGTCACACCTTACTCTATGATTTACGTTCTCCTATGCCGACAATTGTGAAAGATCATCAATATGGTTTTCCCATCAAGAGCATACATTTCCATAAAGGAAGTGCAAGTGACTCAGAGACAGCAGGAGACAAGGTGATTGTGTCTGATTGCAAGATTGTCAAGATCTGGGACCGTGCAAACGGAAAACACTTTACTTCAATTGAACCCGAGACAGATATTAATGATGTGTGCACAGTGGAAGACAGCGGCTTGATTTACACAGCAAACGAAGGTATCCAAATGGGTGCCTACTTTATTCCTCAACTTGGTCCTGCTCCTCGTTGGGCTTCTTTCTTGGAAAACCTTACAGAAGAAATGGAAGAGAACCCTAACCGTGATATTTACGACGAATATAAGTTTATTACTCGCAAAGAACTCAAGGCACTTGGATTGGAGCATCTTATGGGTACCAACGTCCTCAAAGCCTACATGCACGGTTTCTTTGTTGATCTTCGACTTTATGAAAAGGCTAGACTCATTGCCAATCCCTTCGCTTATGACGAGTACAAGGATCGTGTTGTTAAAGAAAAGGTTGAAAAGGAACGTCAATCACGTATTCGTGCCGTCAAACAACTGCCCTCTGTCAATAAGGCACTGGCTAAGGAACTTATGTCTGAAGGAGATGGCAAGAAGAGTGGCAAAAGCGAACTCTTGCAAGATAGTCGTTTTGCTGATATGTTTGCTGATCCTGACTTCCAGGTGGATGAACAGTCTAAAGAATATCAATTGTTGCATCCTATAGCTGTAAGTGGAGCTTTCTCTCCTGTAATATTCTTACTGATATTCCTTTTATAGAAAAAGAAACAAGTAAATTCTGATGACGAAGACGAAGATGATGAAGAGATGGAAGAAGAAAACAGAAACAATGTTCGTGACGCTTCAGATTCTGATGATGCCTCTAAAAATGACGACTCTGACAGCGAAGATGATATTGTATCCAAGATTCGTAAGGAACGTGGATTACTGGTGCGAGACAAACAGCCAACAATCACATCTGTAAGAACTGGTCATGTGCAAAAGAAGAAGATAAAGATGAGCATGGGTACAGAAGGTGGACGAATCACAAGCAGAAACGATGGCAAGAAGTCATTTGCAGCAAGATTGAAGTCAGAGAATAGCCGAGTCCAGAGAGAAGGACACAAGGTGTCACGTACTGCTTTGGGTGGTATGGAGATGGCATTTACACCAAAATCAAAAAAGAACAATAGAAGATAAATGCAAAATGTATATTTATGTATATCAACCTCTTTCCTTTTTTTTTTTTAATTCCATTTATCGTACAATAAAAAAAAACGATGATAACCAACAAAATACATATTAACCCCATACATCTTCTTTGTATCTCTTCTCTTCGATCAATCTGTCTATGAATCCATCAGCGTCCTTTTCGCCAAACTTGACAGCAATGGCACCGAATGCCTTTCGAACCTCTTTACTCATTGCGCCAGCACCACACACATAAACATGGGCACCTAATTTGGATGGACCGTTCTGGAGCAGTTCCCAAAGGGCAGCATCGTGTTGGAGAATTTCATGCTGTACGTATTTTACGCTAGATTCTGGGTTGAGTCTAGAAAAGGCAACATGCACATCTGAAAGGACACCCTTGTGTAAGAATTCGTCCAGTTCCTTTTTGTAGATATGATCATGTTCAGGGTGTCGGCATCCAAAGAAGAGGGTAGAAGGAGCAGCGTTAGGTTGAAGCGATCGTTCTTGTAAGAAGCCCATGAATGGAGCAATGCCTGTTCCTGCTGCAACCAAAATAAGAGGTATACGTGGATCATCAGGTAAGCTAAAGATACCGCTTGAGGATCTAAACGAAGCAGAAATGGAAGATCCTGTAGGAGCTTGAGAGAGGTATGATGAGGCCAGGCCAGGATAGTGTTTATCGTTCACAACATCATCCACTACACCTACTGTGATTGTCGCGTTATAACCATGGACACGCGATGAGGAGGAGATGGAGTATCGACGTGTTTGCATTACATGCACAGTGCCCAAGAAAGAGGCAAAATCGAGCTTTTTAACTTGAGGGAATTGGTCGCCTAGGTCAGCTATTGTGCGACATGTTGCGATGAACTCTCCATATTGATCACGGTTGTCGTCTCCAAGTATAGCTAGTTTGTAAAATTGAGAACCAGAGTCAGGATCTACTTGGCGCAGCGCTTGTTCAAACACAAAGAGCAAACTGCGAGAGGGAGGCGAGAGCAAGTCTGCGTAGTAGGTCAGCGCGTCCCTGACAGAAGATCGGCCACGGATTTCTGCTGCTAGCGAGCGAGGAGAAACACCCTTGAGAGACTCTGGTACAATTTCAAACACGGCATCCAAGTCGAAGCCAAAGCTTTCTGCAATACGAGAGACGAGTGATGGACTATTTGCAGGTAGTATTTCTAAATGATCACCAGGTCTGTACAGTGCTTCAGAATCCACGGGAGGAAGCTTGGATACGTCAATTTCAATATGACAAGTGCTTCTGCCTGCATCCGATGACTGTAGCTCGCGTCGGGTCAGAATGGTTGCATTTGCGGATACAGGCCTGCTTTGACTTTCAGGGACATCCTCAACATATTTAATTTCTACATGGATATCTGATTGGCCTTGCATTGAAGTAAAAGGAACCATATGGCTCTCAGGATTGGGCTTGATACTATAGTATTGTAAAGTGTGCATCCAGAAGTGTTTTGCCCTTTTTATAGAATGAGTAACAAGGAATAAGTTGGTCAATGATAAAAGCTTACCAATCTTGGAAATCAGAATCAATGTCTTTATCAGCATCGCCTTGACCGGCAGGGAAGAATCTCTCTGCGCCAAGTTCTTCAAGAGTCTTGTCAATTTTTATAGGAAACTGTTGATACGTTCGCCACTGTTTATTTCCACAGCCAAACACAGTATAGAGAAGTCCTTCCAAGACTGTCTTGTTATTTCTTTCAGAGGCAGTGTTAAGGAACAAATCAAATTGTTCAGCAGAATCTGGAGGCAATCCACTATAAGAATATTGTCAGGTTCATGCAGTATGTCATTATTTATCAAACTTACTTGTAAGTAGCTGTACAAACAACCAAGAGCTCCCCATCGGAGTGTTTATCCTTTGATCCATTATATTTTCCTTCCTTTAGCACCTTCCATTTATCCATAGTACTCACAGTTATATCGGAAAATCCAAAATTTGCTGCCTGCTTTGCCAATTGATCTGCGTAATCTTGAGATGTAGCAGTTTGGGTGCCATAGAGAAAGGTGATAGGGGGTAATGGTCTAATGTTTGCCGACATAGGACGAGTCATATCAATGACAGGCTCTGCTGTCCTTTGAGTTGGTATAGTCTCTCCGCTCTCATTAGCGTTAGAAGGCTTTGGCATATTGGTTCTAGGATGAATATGGACAAAAAAGTTAAGAGGGCGCGCTGTAGGACTAGCTGAATCTCTCTGAATAGGTGGTCCGTCTAATGAAGAGAAAGGTAAGAAGATGAAACACAGTTTTTCCATATAAATAGTATACCGTATTTAAATTCAAATCGAGAAAGTAGCATAGAAAGCACAGTTAAAAATTCTTGAATGGCAAAAGCCATACCTATACAAGCACGAGGACCATTGCTGAAAGGTAACCAAGCAAAACGAGATCGCTTCTGTTCTTCTTCTGGAGACCATCGATCAGGATCATACTTGTAGGGCTCTGGGTATACCTTTGGATTCCAATGCATTGCCTGAGAAGTCACATTCACAGTCGTTCCTCCTTTGATAAGATAACCCCCAGAGACGACGCAGTCTTTGACACAGGTTTTGTTGATGACCTGTACTGGCGTGTATAGTCTCAGCGTTTCCTTCATGCACTGTCGAAGATAGCGAAGCTTGTTGATTTGTTCTGAAGACGGAATCTTATCATGCGTGATACCAGCATCAGCGATTTCTTGCAGAACCTTTTGTTGAATACTAGGATTTCTTGCAAACTCGTAGAGCGTGAAGGCAAGTGTAGCAGATGTTGTTTCATGGCCAGCGATCAAGAACGTAACGATCTGGTCTCTAATATTTTCATCACTTAAGCCCAAGTTGTGTTCATCACGAGCGTTCAGCATAAAACCTAGCAGATCCTTTTCCGAGTTTTTGGCATCTGGGCTATTTTTTCTTTCTAGAACAACCTCATCAACAATTCTGTGCATCAGCTTAAGCTCTCGATCAAAGCGATAGTTCATTTCCAAAGGAAGACTTTTTATAAAGCGAGGCTGTTTGAAGCGCGTAAAAGCTTGTTTTAAGCAGTAGTTCATGGCAATGATGAATGGATGTTGTGGTGTGTCTCGACTGTCGAGTAGATGGAAATCATAACCAAAGCCAACTTTACCAATTGTTTCAAATGTCAGGTTTGTAGTCCACTTTAAGATCTCTACAGGCTCTTCTGGAGAGAATGATTCGAACACCTTGATCGTCTGTTGTGCTATCACAGCCATTTCGCGTTGATAAGCCTTAAAGAGAATATTAGATCAGTTAGTGTAACAATAAAATGTAACCTTACTTTAATTGCACGAGGACTGAATGCAGGCATTAAAAGTTTGTGAGCCAACTGCCAGTCAGGGTCAGATGTATTGGAAGTAAATAGGCCACTTCCAGCAAATTCTTTGATCTCTTGTAAGCCTCCTGAGATAATCTTGGTGATAAATTCGGATTCTTTGGCAAATGCTTCTGCAATCACTGGATCATTTGTGGAAATCATTCGAGTCTCAAACAAAGAAATATCAATGAGGGGCCCATAATTGTCAAAGAGAACCTTTAAGCCTTCGATACTGTTGAAGAAATGTAAATACTTCATTCTTTGTACTCGCAAAAAAAAAAAAACTGTCTTACAGGTTTGGTAAAAGATCATAAATGTTTCCTATAAAAGGGAGTTTTCTTGGACCAGGGATTTTGTCTTTAATGCCACCAAGTACGGATATGTAAATGATTTCTTGTTGTCTGATATTTTCCATGTCATTTAACTCCTTCTGTTTAAGATCGTATATGAGGATTTCATTTAATGGAACGAATAGACCAAGCTTTTTTGCAATGAAAGAACGAAAGATGGGCATACTTGTATCCTCTGTATATTCGATAATTTCTCCATCCTTATCCGCTTTGTTATGTAAAATTACTGCTCTTACTGTTATTTCTGTCATGATTATTAGAGTTGTAAGAAAAGAATAAAAAAAAAGAAAGGGGGAACGCGATTATTTATAGGATTGCATAAATCATTAGAGACCTGGAAAAGGGTGACGGCTATTTCGTTTAGGCATTACTTTTTCCGCTACTCCTTTTGTAATAAAATAAGCTCAGTACATTAACAGACGTAATGTAGATCAGACGTTCTGGCTATGCTCTTTAATTGTCCAAATACGTCATATGGCTTTATCTGCATGTTTATCCGGGATCAATAGTAACCAGTTTTTCCGTAATGGACAGCCGTTTATTCGTGTCACGAGAATTGAAGCAAACTGAGATCCAATATTATCCACATTTGTGGGGAAGTACGGAACACGCATTGAAAGGGCAGCACATGTTCTTGAATATCAATGTCAATATCACAGATATTACTGGTCATAGCTAGCTGGTGAATTTTTACCGTTTGCGATATTGTCTTTTGCAAGCCAATGCAGATGGGATACAGTAAAACGTAAAAATAGAAAAAGGCTTAGAGGATGCTTTATCTCCTTCAAAAAATCGACTCGCATTCTCTTAACACGATTGGCTTTTGGCGTGAAGAAAATCAAAGGAAAGGGAGGAGCAAACTTTTCGTTATATTCTGGCAAAGAAGGGATGCGAATCAGAGTGCTAAACTCTTTCTCCATCTGTTGTTCAACCATTACGCTTTACAAAAGACTGATGACACCAATCAGATAGCTCTGTCTCATGTAAAATTATTAAATAAGGTAGCTGATACCATAAAGAATATCCATATTGCCATCCAAACAAACAATGGTTGATATCGATTGATAGGAAGAGGCTTGTAACAACAGAAGATACATATAGGCTGTCCCTAAACTCCAATATATACAATAACGGGTTGATCTTAAGGAAAGGACTATGTCGTCTTCTTTTTTGGCAAATCGATGTACAGTCTTTTCTTTAAGTAATGCCGCATAATTCGAAAATTTATAATGCAAAATATACAAAACACGACATCTTGGAGCGACATTACTTTCTGGAAATAGTGTATACTCTGCACATACTTACCGATAAAGCCAACAACCATCAGTTTATTAATCTTTCCTCTACTCAGGAGATATAGTTGGTTTAGAATCGTACAGTTCAACCGCAAGCTCTTGCCATATTGCTTCAACAATAGACGACGAATTTTCTTTCGATTCATTCAATACCAGTTCAATAATAGCTCCATTGAGTTTCAAAAGCAATTTAGGAGTGCTTCTTGGCGCATTCCCAAATCTAAAAGAGTAATGTTAGTGATGTAGACGAATGATAGTAAAGAAGGCTTACAGATGTATGTCGATAAGCCTCTGTATAATCTCTTTATTATGAAGAAACAAAGGGAATTCGTTGTTGCAAACATCATTGTATATACAAACAAGATTGTTACCTGATCTGTGAGGATTGAACATGGCGCGCTATCTGATAGCGCTTTGTTGTCAGTCTTATTCCTGGATTAATCCCGTACGATTAAGTGTTATATGATAAATACTATAGCTATGCCTGTTCATTGAGTAGTGTGGGTTTTCTGCCTTTATTCTATGATCTCGTAAATTTATATGTCGATTCCATTGGTATAAAAATAAAGTAGCATTTACTATCTTATATTAAGCCCGGTAAAGCATACGGTGGCTCTCGAACGTGAGCTGTAAGAATTTCAAATATGTCTATTTATTGTAAAATTGTTAATATGTGTATTTACAGTTATTATGTGCACTCCTTGCATACTACTCAATGAGTAGGCAACGACGCTATTTTGATATTTGATAGTGCGCATCGCTTCATTACAATGGATTGTGTACAACCTAAGGGATGGCGGACTTGATTTGTACAGCAATGGAAACGACAGAGTATTCTTGACCATGACACAGCCACACTGTTCTTCATTTTACAAGACAGTCCAGATTTCATTTTGAGTCATAGTCAGAGAAAGGATCACTGGAATGACGGTTCATTTGCCAGAACAAATGAAGATAGCCAAGCTTAGGATGCTCAAACTATAATGTTCTTCTCCTGGCATATTTTGAAATAAATTTGTATTTGTTGAAGCATGTCTGTTATGCTGTAATAGATGTGCTGATCATTCTTACGTTTTCGCAAAAATACATGACTCAGAGAACTGCGGATAAACTAAAATTTATTAAGGAAAGAAACGTAAGCAGTCGATCTTAGGTCGTGACTTATCCGATTCCTTTCGTTTGACTCATAAAGGAAAGCTAGAACATTGCCAAGGTACTTATTTCAGTAGCAATCAGTAGATGAGCTTATTCATAAAATGATCATAGGACCTTTTCCATGATTTCTATATGCTTCTCAAATCAAATTATCTTTTTCAAAATTCACACCGAGAAGAAAACACGCCATGGAGAAGGCATTACATTATACTTTGCCATAAGCGTTGTGTTCCCAATAGAAATACATCTTAGATTCCACAAACATCAGCATGCTTCTACATAACAAACTAGGTTTTGATTATTAGTTTCTAGCTTGGATGCTGTTGAGCATAGTCCTGAGATCACGGAAACATGAGCAGGAGTACTGTGGTCAAGGTCTGTCGTAAATTTTAAAAGAGAAGACTACAAATCCACTCGTGTATGATGAACAAATCGTTGTTCTATGAAATCTATAACTTTTAACCAAATCATAACTCAAACTTTGGGTACAAACTAGATTCTCTTATTTTTAACAGAGTCTTTGCTCATTTACATTATTCAAGCCGTAATTTAGGAAGTAAAGCACTTAGATATGCCTATACTTTAGTTCTATTTGTCTTTGATTGCTGATACATATGCAAAGGAAGGATTTCCACCAATTAAATTTTGTATATTCCTGTATATATTTTTAACCACATCTGACGTTTTCACCATCAGACAGTATCCATACGTTAAATTGCGAACAATTTGCCCATTGCTCCTTTCTTTGAAAAATATAAAGTTAAGAAACAAATATTACGGCATCACATGGTGCCACACTTTCTTTGACAAAAACAGCCTAGGGAAGAGAGTAAATGAGAAAGGTGAATATATGTAAGGTCATTCAAGAGATGACGAGCCCCTCTTATTGTAGTGCATATAGATGTACCTGAGGTATTTTTTATAGTTAATGTCATATCTTTTCAACATGTTTCTATACCTCTATTTAAAACGTAGGCTCAGGAAGCGTATTTGCTGTGTTTACACCTTGCAGCAACTGCCAATTGCTCGTTTTTAGCTTTAGAAAAAGTTATCACAGATGGTCGCAGTTCTAAAAGGTCTCCTGCATTACAGTTTAAATGTTCTCATGCGAAATAAAGAAAAACGTTTTTTCACCATTGAATATGTCCAAAACTAATCTACAGCTATTGAAAAGTCTTGCTGATGAGGAGCAAGAGCTCTATCTGAATGTCTGTAGAGCAAGAATAAGGCAGTTGAACGAGGTAAAAGTTAATTTATACACACATATATCACTACTATATTATTATAACTATCTTTATGTTATAGGAGCTCGATAACGTAAGTACAACTAATCCTAATATTGTGATGCCTATTAACAAGTCTTTATTCTTCCCACAACTCAGGAAGTTGAAGACAACGAGGGAAGTTTCTTTATAAGTTTATCTGGACAAGCATTAATCTGTAATATATAGGACTTACAAAAGTTCTTAAAGAACAAAACAAAAAAAACCAAAGAATCCATAAAAAATACATACTTTGAATGGTAATTTAGTTATGCTTTAAAATTACTTGTTTGACTAATTGTTTTTTTTTTTTTTTTTTTTGGCAGGATAAGTAGAAATGACATATATGATGCCACTGATTGTAGCGCTGGCGCACACAATGAACATCCATCCTTTGCATCAATTAAAAATGAATATGAAATCCCTGATGTAATTTGGAAAAGCATTAAAGACATCATGAATACAGATGACACCATTGCAGAAAAACTAAAAAAAATAGATGCTCTAAAGCCTTGCAATAATAACGAAAGAACACAAAAAGAGGTGTACAGGCACATGTAAGTACACGTAGAATATCCAAAATTGAATTACACACTAAAGGTTGTATATCATTTTTTAGACTAAGCATGCACCTATACAAGGCGCATTTGTTTTCCGATGGACAAATAAAAAATTATTCAGAGGAAGATTACAAAGTGAAGTTCTGGTCTTTTATTTTGGAAGAATTCTTTGGTAGTTCTTCCGTGACAATCAAATGGTAAAACAGGTTCGCTTTATATTTTGCCAAGCAATGTTTCTGAAGTAGATGCTTTATGTCTTCTTCTGAAGTCGCTTGTGCTTCAAACACAAGATTATTAATCATATCCAACTGAATAACACTAGGTGGGATACTGTTCCAAACAGCTTTAGAAGCTTGGATACAGAGCCAAATTTGGACCTAAGGGTAATCTCTTCTCCGTCAACAGCACGTCTGGACGATTTTGACAAGCAATGCAAGGTAGCAAAGGTGCACCTAGATAAGTTGAAGCTCGTGCTAGTTGCAAAACATCATCTCAACTACTACCACAAGAAGATGAAAACAGACAATATATTAATTCCGTTCATGCTGATCATAGGCTTTGACTGCCAACTACTTGGACTACGACTGATCCAGCCTAAGCTCTACTGCCTTGACAACATCGGGACATTTTCTTTTCCTATCAACAAGAAGCATATAAAAGAAGGAGCTATTGAGGATATAGTAAACATCCTCACATTTGCAAGAGTATATGTTATATTTCAAACCGTAAGAGAACGCTAACTTTTTAATCGTTTAGGTGCAAGCCATAGAGTTGAAAAATAAAATCAACAATTTAGAAAGAACCAAGCACATAAGCAAGCTGGCAAAGGACTTGAGATCTACCAGTGGAAGAGATGCCTGGTGTACAGATGTTATCTGGCCTTCAGACCAGGTAATTCCAGGCTTCGCGGGAGAGGAAAAAGCTGAAGACAATGAATAGGCCAAAGAGCATTTTTGCAATGATATGTTTTTGTTATAATTTACCTTGTATACGTTTTTCAATGTAAGCACATGCAGAATAATCAAATTGAACTATATACTAAGAATATTGTCTCATTTTTTCAGTCTTAACATGCATCTTCATAAGGAAAGCCTCTTCTCTCAGAGTAATATCAACAATTACTCTGAGGAAGATTACAAACTCAAGTTCTGGACGTTCGTACTAGAGGAGATCTTTGGGTATTCTTCTGTAGTCATCAGTGTTTAATGAAATAAATCCTTATTATACCTTATAATCTCTCTATTTATTTATCGTACATCAGATGACAATAATATTGACCACATTTTCATATGAAGATCAGCCTCCTATAAAACTCTTTCCTCAAACATTTCTTTGATTTTTAACTCTTTCTTTTTACTTTGTTTGTGGTCGACTTAATTTTACAGTAATGGTAAGTTGAATACAACACGACTTCATTGGATTATTAACCGTATCTAACTGAATTACATTAGGGAGACACTGTTCCGAACAGTTTCAAGAGCATAGACGCAAGGTCCAAGTTGGATTTGAGGGTTCTGCCTTCTGCATTAGTAGCTCATCTTGATACATGCCTGGGCAGTTCGCAGCTGGTAATTTTAAATTTTACATTATAAGTTGAACTGTTTGACCAAGTAATTCTTTATTCTTTGCAGTATAAGTAGAGATGACATATATGATGCCACTGATTGTAGCGCTGGCGCACACAATGAATACCCATCCTTTGCGTCAATGAAAAACGAATATGAAATCCCTGATGCAATTTGGCAAAGCCTTAAAAACATAATGCATTCAAGCAATAGCATTGCCAACAAACTGAAAAGGGTAGATTCCTTAAAGCCTTGCAATATTAACGAAAGAACACAAAAAGAGGTGTACAGGCACATGTAAGTACACGTAGAATATCCAAAATTGAATTACACACTAAAGGTTGTATATCATTTTTTAGACTAAGCATGCACCTATACAAGGCGCATTTGTTTTCCGATGGACAAATAAAAAATTATTCAGAGGAAGATTACAAAGTGAAGTTCTGGTCTTTTATTTTGGAAGAATTCTTTGGTAGTTCTTCTGTAGTCATCAGTGTTTAATGAAATAAATCCTTATAACTTTTTATTCTCTATTTGTTTACTGTACGTCAAATGACAGTAATTTTTACCTTTTTCTTTTTACTTTGTTTGAGGTCGCCTTAGTTTTAGTCATGGTAAGTTGAGCATAAAATAAAGTCACGTAGCTCCAGACACTAGGTTATTAACAGAATCTAACAGAATTATATTAGGGTGGACATAGCACTAGAGTTCTAGAAACTTGGTGAGATATTTAAACTTGTAAATTGATCAGAAGAAAGAGACTTGAGTCAACGAGACCGAATTATAGTTCAAAGCTTGGTTATATTACTTTTGAAAATGATTGGAAGGTAAATCTTGCCTAGCTTTTCTACTTTATTCAAATCTATTGATTTAATTGCCCCGTCTTCTTTCGATAATAATATATTTTCCTCTTCTCCTTACGTGAATTTACCTTTATCTCTTATTTCTTCTCTGTCTTGTGCATCTTCATTACCAAGTATTCTTTCTTCTCGTACCTTTAAAAAAAGGATTGATTCACACATTCTAGAGCTATATCCCGCCAAGCATCCCATCTTTGCTTCCGCCACTTCACATCCACCGAAGTCTTTCACTATTCTCACCCCAGCAGGCAAACTATAAATCTACTTATGTATAGCAGTACCCAAATATGATTGACACTCTCTTCCACATTAACCATTCTACAGCTAATGACGTCTTCATTTCCTTCTATCTCTCCCTAATTGTCGCTCAGATCTTTGGCACCATCTCGATTGCTGCCATATCATTCCGTCTATTGGCACTTTCACCTAAGGCGTAGAAATTTATTAGCCGTCTACATAATTCTGCTATTCTTCGACCATCCGTGATTCCCCACCACGCAAAGCATTGTCTCGCGCTCCATCCCTTCTATCTCGGGCTTACCTGGAGCTATGGCCTGCTCAAAAGCCACACCTCTCACGCATCATTTGGTACAAATCTTCCAAGGACGGACTTCCTACTTGGACTTCCTACACCATATTGCTCCTGCTAAATTCACCACTATGTCCCCGCAGCTCCATCGTTTCTGACTCTCTGTTACATTTCTTTTTCGCCTGTCCGACTGTTTCTGCTGTTTGTGCCTTTGTGGTTCCCAAGTTTTTAGCACCTCAATGGACTTCACATATGTACTTTTTTCTTCAAGGTTATTCTTTCGCTGTTCTGTACATGCGCCTGCTACTATCCAAGGCCTTTTCCTGCCAGATGCTCCACTTTTCTCTTCCCTTCAAATAGTTGCTTGTGCCCTGTAAGCTATTTGAGCTTGTCAATGGCAGTTCTTATTCAATGATACTCTTTTTACTATCAACTACTTATTTGCATATGCTGAACGTCTTATCTGCCGTTCTGATTTAGCTGTTGTTCCTTTGGTGACAGCCTCTCGGATGTGTGACCTCTAACAAACAAAACAAAACAAAAAAAAAATGAATGATTTCTAGTCATCAGCTTTTGTTCTAATTATTCAACAATCCTTTTGATCCCTCACTGTTCCCTTTCATAATTCAACTCTGCATCTTCGTTTCAATAAATTGGACACTCAGTACAAGTGCTGTCCTCTAAAAAAAAGGATACTGTCTCCTTAAAAAAGGCATCCGTACTTTTAGTTATATTGAATTGGCGATGAATTTGCCCCTTGTTTATTGCTTTGAGAAATGTAAAGTTAATAAATAGGAATTAAACCATTACATTATGTCCTCTCTTTTTATGAAAGTCATAAAAGAAAGATAGTAAATAAGAAGAGTGAAGAAACGTAGTGCTTTTACACAAATGTATTCGAAAAATGACATGCCTCTTATAACTTCAATACAGATAAGCCTATTTGGGTGTTTGTATGTTTAGCGGCATACTCTTTTGGGAGTTCCCGTCTCTATATCCTTTTTAAAACATGCGTTAAAGACGCATATTTTTTAAATCGTCCCTAGAAAAAGGGTTACTATAAATACTTACCAATTTGGAATATAATCTAACGTTCTTTCACCAACTGAATATGTCTAAAAGAAATATTGAATTGTTAGAAAGTCTTGCTGATGAAGAGCAAGAGCTCTACTTGAATATTCGTAGAAGCAGAATAAGGAAAATGAACCAAGTAAAAGCTAATTTTTGCACACATATATCATTACTACATTCTATTAACTTTTCTATTACTATAACTACTTTTATGTTGTAGGAGCTCGAAAAGGTAAGTACAACTGCTTCTGTTATTACGGCGCCTATTAACAAGTGTTTATTTTTCAAAACAGAAGGATAGCAGCAAGGTAGACTTTTTTATATTCTCATTTGAACAAGTACTAATCTACGATATGTAGAAACTGCAAAAGTTCCTGAGGAACTTTAAAAATAAAAATAAAAAGCAATCAAAAAAAAATATCTACTTCAGCTGGTAATTTGATTTTGCATTATAAGTTGAACTGTTTGACCAAGTAATTCTTTATTCTTTGCAGCCTAAGTAGAAATGGCATCTTTGATGCCAGTGATAAGACTGTGGGCTCCCATGCCACAACAACAACAACAACAAACTACGTCAAGTTTGAAAAGAACTACGAAGCCCCTGATGTGGTTTGGAGCAGAATAAAATCCATAATAGAATCAAAGGGCAATCTTGGAGAAAAATATAAGAAAATCGATGCTCTAAACCCAGCAAGTAGTGATCAAAGAGCACAGAAAGAAGTGTTCCGCTACGTGTAAGTGCATACAGAGTAATCAAGTTGAACTATACACTAAAAGTTGTATCTCATTTTTTTCAGCCTCAACTTGCATTTAAACAAGCCAAGTCTCTTCTTGAGTAGCAGCATCAAGCGCTACTCCGAAGAGGACTTCAAGCTTAAGTTTTGGGCGTTTGTTCTCGAAGAAATCTTCGGGTACTCGTCGGTGGTGCTTCGTTGGTAAGACAGAGTTATTTTATATTTTGCCAACCAGTTTCTGAAAAATAGATACGATGTACCTTTTTCACGGAATTGTTTGTCCTTCAAACACTAAATTATTAACCATATTCAACTCAATTATAATAGGGGAGACACCGTGCCCAGCTCATTTAAGGGTTTGGGCACCCAGCCGAAACTGGATCTTCGGATCCTTTCTTCGGTAACAGCACCTCTCCCTGATGCATGCTTAGGAGAGTTTGCTGGTCAGTGTACAGCGTCAAAAATGTACACTGATAAATTGAAGCTGGCGTTGATCGCCAAGCTTCATTTAAATTTTTACACAAAAAAATTGGGCAAAGATGATATCTTTGTCCCTTTTTTACTAATTATGGGCTTCGATTGCCAGTTGCTGGGGGTGAGACTCGTCCAGCCCAAGTTGTATTGCTTGGAGGAGATTGGAAGGTTTTCCTTTCCAGTAAGCAAGAAACAAATTGAAGGAGGGATAGGCAAGATGGTGAGCCTCCTCACATTTGCAAGAGTAAATATGATATTGCGGATTGAAGAAGAACACTAACTTTTTAATTATTTAGAATCATGCTCTGCAAGTAAAAGAGCTGGAAAGGCACCCTCGCGTCACAACCGTCACTGTTGCTTTTGATTGGTGTTCAGACGTAGTTTGGCCTTCGGGCAAAAAAATCCCGGCCTTCGTTGATGAAGAGGATGACGAAGATGAAAATGATGAAGATAATGAAGATAATGAAGATGATGAAGAGGATGAAGAGGATGAAGAGGATGAAGAGGATGAAGAGGATGAAGAGGATGAAGAGGATGAAGAGGATGAAGAGGATGA